GGATCAGCGGGAGCTGTATGTTATTTTGAATCAAAAAAACGCAAACCTGATTGAAGTAAACGGTAAATAGGATTTGGTATTTGGGCAGAACTTTAATGCTATTGATATTTAAAAACTATCTTTTCAGTGTATTAAGAAACGTGGTAAATAGAACAAATCAAGACTGTTGAGATTCTAAGCAGGTAACCCTAATGCTGGTTTTAAAAAAAACAACATTTGATCCATTTTATTTTTTTTTCTATGTTATGGTTCCTTGAAAAACTATGTGATAAACTCCTTTGTAGCACAGGAAACTTGACAGCGGCCAGAAGAAAATTATTTTCTACGATGCTAAAAGAAAAAAAAAACGGTGGCTTTACATACTGTGTATAAAAATGTCCTTTTTTATATCCTGTGATAAAAGCACATTTTTTTTTTTTTGCGACAGAGTCTGACTGTGTTGCCCGGGCTAGAGTGCCATGGCGTCAGCCTAGCTCACAGCAACCTCAAACTCCTGGGCTCAAGCCATCCTCCTGCCTCAGCCTCCCGAGTAGCTGGGACTACGGGCATGTGTCACCATGTCCGGCTAATTTTTTCTATATATTTTTAGTTGTCCGATTAATTTCTTTCTAATTTTAGTAGAGACGGGGTCTTGCTCTTGCTCAGGCTGGTTTCGAACTCCTGAGCTCAAACAATCTGCCCGCCTAGGCCTCCCAGAGAGCTAGGATTACAGGCGTGAGCCACCGCGCCCGGCCAAAGCACGTCTTTTGTAGGGAGAGCTACCAGGTTCACATGGCGGTTTACAACTGTCTGTCTGTACAATAGTAAAGTGATAATGCAGGCGTTTTTTCCCGCCTTCCAGACAGAGCGGTGGGTCTGGTCCTCTGCACAGTGTGACCCAGTAGCTGCTTTGTAACATCCTGACATGTCCATTGCCCTGGTGGTGTCACCTTCACTTGAGTTGGGCCCCTATGCTGTTGTGCCTGGAACAAAGAGGGGTGCAGGTGGGGGGAGATGTGCCCCACCTGGAAACTGTCAGGAAAGTTAGGTGTGAGCTTTTTTTTCCCTCATATATATTCTAGGACAGGGGTCCCCAACCTATGGTGAGTTGTGTAATTATTTCATTACATATTACAATGTAATGATAATAGAAATAAAGTACACAATAAATGTAATGTGCTTGAATCATCCTGAAACCATCCCCCCCACTCTGGTCCATGGAAAAATTGTCTTCCATGAAAACAGTCCCTGGTGCCAAAAAGGTTGGGTACCACTCTTCTAGGGCATGTTAAATTTTTCCATTTATATTAATACTTGTATTAATAGTTGTATGCGGCCCGGCGGTGGCTCACTCCTGTAATCCTGGCACTCTGGGAGGCCGAGGCGGGAGGATCGCTCAAGGTCAGGAGTTCGAGACCAGCCTGCGCAAGAGTGAGACCCTGTCTCCACTAAAAATAGAAATAAATTATCTGGACAACTAAAAATATATATATAAAAAATTAGCTGGGCATGGTGGTTCATGCCTGTAGTCCCAGCTACTTGGGAGGCTGAGGCAGAAGGATCGCTTGAGCCCAGGAGTTTGAGGTTGCTGTGAGCTAGGCTGATGCCACGGCACTCTAGCCCAGGCAACAGAGCCAGACTCTGTCTCAAAAAAAAAAAAAATAGTTGCATGCATTGGAAATGTCAGTTATTACATGACTGCATTAAATTATGAATTTAGTAAAATCAAGGTCATGATTCCACTATGGAGCACTGGATCTATGATTCAGGGTTGCAGCTAGAATTTTTGCATCATCCCCTCAGATTTCTCAAGATTGACTACATCTTCAGTAGTCTGAAGATGACTACACCTCACCCTTGGTTGTCTTGGCTCCTTTCAAGCAATTTCTCAGGCCCAGAGAAGCAGCATTTCACTGTAACAAGTATTGTGGTCTTGTGGGTTTGTTAGGTGTCTTTTTCCCTGTCTCTCAATTTATTAACATTTCTTAGCTAGTCTTCTGGGATTTAAGGTCAAAATTAATGCAGACATCTATTTATTCCCAATTTTATTCCAAAAGAATTAAAGGTATTAATATATGTCATATAACCTTGTTAGTGAGAACCTCTATTCCTTACTCACTGTTTTCCGTTCTGTTTGCAGAAGAAGTAAAGAAACTTTGTGCAACGCAGTTCAATAACATATTCTTCTTGGATTGACTGATAATGGCTTGCCGAAAACATCTCTGGAAAAAACTTAGCAAACATTTCGTTTACCATTGCAAGTTATTGGTCATATTGTTGACTGGATTAATGACAATAGTAAAGCAATACTTGCTTTGAAGAATCAAATTTCTACTTGGTCTGATGATCCCCTGAGGTTTTTAGATTTTAAATATTTATGTGGAATTAATTAAAGGTAGTTGGCTATATCTCTATCATTCCATTCTTTTGACATTATGTGAATATTTTACTGGAAAATAAGACTAATAAATTGTTAAAGTTTTTAAAATTCTGCTTTTGCCTTGAGTCTGTCTCCTGTTGTTCCGGCCAGTGGATCCCTGGCTCATGCTCTGGGCATTTTAAAACTCATGGTCGATACCCCAGCAGCGAGAGCTTCTCAGGGTTGGGGTTCCTTCCCCAGTCCTGAGACCTGGGGGGATGAGTAATTAGGCATTGGCCCAGAGTAATTGCAAGATTTGGTTTTTATCTTGAGTACTACCATGATTTTTAGACCACATCTAACACACAGAACTTAATGAAAGTGCCCCAGTGTGATCTAAACAGAAAGCGTTCTCCATCTGGCACGTAGAGCTCCCAGGAGCCACAGCTGTGCGTGCGTCTTCACAGTGGACATGAGGTCTGGCTGAATTTTACTTTCACCTCATTTTTGGTGGTCTGGAACAAACATTTCCCCAGCCCTAAAAGCAACTCTCCGTATTTCCCTCCACTTAGCCTGCGTGAGCCTGTTACGTTAGGGGGCAGAGGAGATGGCTGCGTGCGTTGCAGTAGTCAGCGCTCCTTATCCGCGGCTTCTGCATCTGAGGATTCAGCCAATGTGGGTGGACAATACAGTATCTCGGGATGTGGGACCCACGGATCCGGAGGGAGCTAACAATTTTTCGCACCCTTGGTTCTGCACGGCTAACTGCAGGACTTGCCTATCCTCGGATTTTGGTACCTGCAGTAGGTCCTGGAACTAGTCCTGTTCCAGTACCAACACCGAGGGACAGAGGGACACCTGTATTTTCATCTTCACTCACGCTTAAATAATTCACAATTTCCATTATGATTTCCTCTTAACCCACGCTTTAGTTAACATTGCAGTTTTTAGTTTCCTGTCACATTAGGCTTTGTTGTGTGCATTCATTGCTGACTTACTGATTTTGCTGTAATTATAATAGATCATGGTCTATGGTGTATCATTTGGAATTGCATTTTTCAACCTAAAATGTGGTCAGTGTTTTTGTCAGTGTTTATTCTCTGTTGCATTCTAGTTTCTAGCTATATGTATAGTTCAAACTTTCTAGTTTAATTGCTTGAATTATCTATACCTCTGCTAATTTTTTGTCTTCCTGCTGTTTCGTGCATCATGATTGTAGTTTTCTTCCTTGGAATTCTGTCAGCTTTTGCAAGGCTGACATGAAGCTGAATATAAATAATGCTTGTTTTCAGTTGTTGGTCCTTTTACCATGATCTTTATTTTTACCTTTATAATGTGAATGTTTGACTTAAATTCTATTTTAGCTTTAATCCTGCTTGCTATTCCAGTCGTCTTGATTAGATTTGCCTGGTACATCTTTTTGCATATCTTTATTTTCACCCTTTCCATGTAATTTTGTTTGAAGATGTTTCCTTTGTAAAGAGTAACACTGAGGTGAATTTTTTATTTTTTTAATCCAGTTTAATCTCTGGGTTTGGGTTTTTTTTGGCGAGGGGTGACGAGTGAGTTTAATCTATTTATACTGCTGGTTGTGGGTAGATTTGTACTCTTTCCTGTCACTGTTTGTGTGTCCTGTTTACCATCCTTTCCTTTGTTTTCCTTTTCCTCAGCTTTATGTTGCATCGATGGTTTCCTATATTCTTTCTACTCGTTCTGAAGCTTCAGATTGTATTTTTATTCTTTTGGTGGTTACCCTTAAGTTTTAACTCAGACTACTAACCATAACATTTTCTCACAGACTAAATGTGCTCCTTCCAGTACCCATCGAGGGCCTGCTCCTCACCTTGCAGTCGCCTAGGGTTACTGTCTGGCATTTCCCACATGTGAAGGAGAGTGCCGTGGATGTTTGCGGAGAAGGCCCAGGACAGAGGCTGTGTGTGAGGTGACTTGTGGGGCACAAAGGGTGCTTATGAGGGCAAAGAAGGCACCGGCTGGGGTGGGGGCGTCTGAAGAAATGTGTCAATAACTTTATCCACTCCCCACTTCTTCTGATGTTTTGTCAGATTCTGAACTTAATCACCACTACTCTATTTTTTAATTTTTTTTATTTTTTAGAGATAGGATCTTGCTCTGTCACCCAGGCTGGAGTACAGTGGCACAGTCACAGCTCACTCACTGGAGCCTCCAACTCCTGGGTGCAGGGATCCTCCTGCCTCAGCCTCCTGAGTAGCTGGGGCAACAGGTGCCACCACGCCCAGCTAGTTTTTTTTTTAATTTTTTGTGGAAATGAGGTCTCGCCATGTTACCCAGGCTGGTCTCAAACTCCTGGGCTCAAGGGGTCCTCCTGCCTTGGCCTCCAAAAGTGCTGGGATTACAGGCATGAGCCAACATGCCCAGCCAGTACTCTATTTTTTTAAGACATATTTAATAGACAGTCATTTAATATGTATATGCATGTATTTTCATTCAACTCCTCTTTTAAAATGCAGGCATTTCAGGGATAGGAAAGCTGAGATGCAGTGGGCCAAGGCAGGAATATTTCAAAACACTAAGATAATAAGTAAAATGCAAACAATTTTATTGTTCAGGAAATATTACAGTCCTTGCAGTTCTAAGCTCCTCTATATGTGCATGTTTTCATGGCTCATTCGTAACACTAGCAGCCCTTTACTTTTTTCTTTTCTTGCTTGTGGTGGATTTGCTGGGGGACATGGCTGGATCCTCTTTGGGGGGGCTCAGTGTCAGGCTAGAAGATGGGGCATCCACTGGTTCCTTGATCACAGTGATGTCCACCTCGTAGTCTTGTCTTTTGGCCTCTTCCTCTCTTAAGATACTCAGCCTAAAACCAAACACGAGAAGGTAACTTTTTTTCCTTTGAAATTGCAAAACCGGTTTTTGTGCTGCATATTGCTTACAGTAGCCCATGCCTGTGTTATCAATCATGTCTGTGACCAAAACTAAATTGTCTTTGCTTTGCCTGAAATAATAAGTGATGCCATATCTAGACAGTCCAAAATAAACCTTTTATATATCTAAAGTGATTTGTGAAACAACTTAGAAGCTAATAAATGGCCTTGTATTTTTTTATTTTTTTTCCTCAGCTATCAGCACTAAGAAGTAAGTGGCCTTTTAAAATACCTCATGTATTCTTTTCCTTAAGTGTAAATAACACTTCTAACACTTTCTTCAGTAGGCCGAAAGTACCTTACAGAGGTGGGTGTCTGCACTTGGACTGCCGGGACCCTGCAGGACTGAGCCTCAGCCATGATCCTCAGAAGGTGAGTGTGCAGCATGTACTGGGTGCTCACCAGGTCCCAGGCCATGTGTTCTAGATGCTTTGCCAGCTTTAGCTTATTTAATCCTCACAACAGTCCTAGGAGGTTGTAGGGATCCAAGGCCCCTGGCCCCCTAAAGGTTTGCTGAAAAATCACTGACATGAGGCAGATTAATAGGAGGAAAAGAATGCAAATTTATTTTAAAATATATACATGGGAGTGTCCAGAATGAAAACTCAAAGATACAGGGGAAATTGTCCATTTTTATGCTTAGGTTCCACAAAGTGTGGGCAGCCATGTAGAAATGTGATTGGACTAATAGGGTGTGACTTAATGCCGTTAATAACAGACTGAGTGGGGAGCCAGCAAGGCCTGTCTAGATTCTGCTTGGCCTCTCTGAGCAGCATCCTTCCTTCTGGGTGTGGGACAGGGCCCTTTCTGGAATAGGAGATTTTATAGTCAAACAAAGTAGATCAGATAATTACATCATGACCAGTTTTTACATAGAATAATTTTAGGCTTTATGGCTGGCCTTTGGGAAAAGGGGTTCTAGCTTTTATGACCTGCCTTGGGGAACAGGGGTTCTGGTTTCTATAGCTAGGTTCAGGGAAGAATGGGACTGAGAAGGACAAGGGAGAGTCAGAGAAGAACTTTTGCTTCTGAGGCCTTCATTTTGGTACTTTTTGGTACTGTTTTCTGAGCCTCATCAAGGTATTGTCTCCACCTCACAGATGAGGACCCTGCCCAAGGCCACCCAAGTGTCAAGAGGTAGGGCTGGGATTTGAACCCAGGCCGTCTAGATCTGTGGCCTGTGCTATCGGCCACTACTTCCCATTGCCTTTTCATGTGAGCTTTGGGGCACAGGTGTCATCACCAACTTAGCCAGGGGGACCCACAGTTAGCCATAAGTCCTCAGTACTGGGTGAGGACGTGATACTAAAAGGAACAATGCTGCTTCTACTCACAACATTTCTGACGCTGAATGTGAGGGCTTTTTCCCCACACCAACCAACTCGAACACCAGCTGGGTGTCCTAAAACTCAATTGAATTCTGACAGTGTCTACCTGGAGTTTGCACAGACCTCACAAGTTAAGGGCTCAGTCCCTTAAGACAACCCCCATTTCAGACACCAATCCCAAGTCCTGTGCTCTGACCAACCAGCTATAAATTGGGGGTGCCCACGAACCCCTCCTCAGGTTCAATAAGTTGCTAGAAGGGCTCACAGAACTCAAGGAAACATTTTACTTCCATTCACCAATTTATTATAAAGGATAAAAATGAGGAGCCAGATGACGAGGTGCACAGGGCAAGGTCCAGAAGGGTCCCAAGCACAGGAACTTCTGTCCTTGTGGAGTTGGGGCTGTCCCACCCTCCCATGAGTAGATGTGTTCACCAACCGGAAACTCTCCAGACCCCATTGTTAGGGTTTTATGGAAGCTCCATTGCGTGTCATGATTAATTAGATCATTGGCCACTAGTGACGAGCTCAATCTCCAGCCCCTCTTTCCTCCCTGAGTGTTGAGGGGATAGATGTGAAAGTTCCAACCCTCCAATCACATGGTTGGTCCCTCTGGCCACCAGCTCCATTCGGAAGCTATCTAGGGCCCCTGCCTGGCCACCAGTCATCTGGTTCACGTGCTAAAGGACAGTCTTACCACTCCTGGGATCCCAGGGGCCTTAGAAGCTCTTGTGTCAGGCACCAGGAACTAAGACCAAATCTTAGAACAAAAGACACTCCTGCCACCCTTATCACTCAGGAAGTTACAAAGGCTCTAGAAGCTCTGCCAGGAACCAGGAGCAGAGACCAAATATGTATTTTTTTATTATGTCAAAGATACCCTTAGGAAGTTACACACTTTGAATGAAAGTGAAAGAAATCAAAATATTTTACCCCAAAATATATTTATTTTGAGATGGCTGTCAAGAAAGCAAACAGGAGTAGCCCTGTGAAGCTGTCATGTGGGGGAAATTGGCATCTGCAGAGAATCTGCACAAGCCAGGCCTTGTCCAGATCGAGGGAGGACAGAGGGTCTGACACCTTAGAAACCCGAGAGCAACATGGACCCCTGTTCTCTGAGGCCAGCTGCCCGAGAGGTTTAATCTACATAACAAGACGCGTTTTCTAGCCAGGCCTCCTCTCTCCCTCCCATAACTGGTCATGCCACTACAACCTGGTTTATCTGCCCCATTCTTTCTGTAACCTCCAGGTGGTTTATCAGCTCTGTACCCCACTGGGGCTTGGGTCACCACTCAGGTTCTCCCCATGTACGTGTTTAGTACATTTGTTTGCCTCGTCTATCATTAGTCTGCCTTTTGTGAGTCGATTTTTCAGTGAACCTTCAGAGGGCAAAGGGGAAGTTTTCCGTGGGCCCCTACAAAAGCATTTGGTCCTGAAGTTTCAGGTAGCTACAGAAGACAGGAAAGAAAGATGACAGCCCTTGAAGGAGAGGCAGAGCAGAGGGATGTTATAAAGGTACCTTGCTTCTAGCTCATCGTTTTCAGTTTTCTTCTGCTGAGCCATTGCTGCATTACGTAGCTTGTTTTCCTTTACTTTCTCCTTCAGAGTCTCTTCATGCTTATAGGCATTAAAGAGCATGTTCACGAAAAAGACATACATGTTATCGACCCACATATTGAGTTTCTCCTTTTGTTCATCCTTGGGTTTTTCACATTTCTCTGGAATAAAATTTAATCAAGACGAGCATTAACACAATCCTGCAATAAATTTGGAGTCTGTGTGCATATTCTAGTTCTGCCCCTTCCTGCAGTGAGCTGAGGGACCTGTTCCTCTGCGAGGTGGGGTGATGCAGGCTTCCCAGGGTCGGGAGGGTTAGGAAACTCTTAGTGACAACCTGCAGCAAGGCGCAGGTGCTCTGTAGACTGTGGCTAGGACTGTCGACGTTCCCTGTGAGTCTCCTGGTACCTTTTTTTTTTCCTACATAGCTTAAGTATTTTGGTTTTCTGAAATTTTAATTTTCCATGTTTCGGGGGGGAAAAACCCTCTTACACTGTCTTTAAAGGCAGTTTTTATTTTAGAAATAATAAATTTAAACTCTGAATTGAATAAGAAGGTAAGTAGACACTGTCTTTAGCTTGGGCTATGCTACTGTGTGGGGGAGATGAGGGGAGAAAAGCACTGGGACGGAGACTGTGGAAAGGCAGGATTTTGTGAACAATCCACCCCTCCAATCTCACCTCCCATTCCAGGACCTTGATGCCAACGCCAGATTTTACAGAGGCTAAAGGAAACTTTCATGTGTGTGTGCCACATGAACTCTCAGATTCCAGAACATCAGGACAGCCTGTGGCAGGCCTAAGGCTTGGGCAGGTGATGTGCATGGAGGTGTGAGGTGGGGAGTCATGAAACCAAACCACTGGGATTGCTGGCCCCGGCCTGTCAAGGGTCTTGCACAGCCTCTGCTGCGAGGCACCACAGTATAGTAGTTACAAGCGCAGACTTGAGCCAAACTGTAATAGTTAGACTACAGGCCCAGCTTTGCCACTTACTAGCCTGTGTGATGTGGGCAAGTTAACATCTCTGTGCACTAGTTTCCTCACCTGCAAAGGGGAGCAGTAACACTACCTACTTCACAGAAGTCGTGTGGAGGTTAGATGTGTTGGTGCATGTAAGCGCTGAGCTCCGCACACATTAGTAGCCACTCAGTCACATGCTAGTGGGTTCCCATAGCCCTGTCTGCCAGAACAGATTATCACCTAACCTATTATAAAATAAAAACAGATAAGCCACACACTGGGAGAAAATATCAGCAAAACCTATGTCTGATAAAGGATGTCTTGTCTCCAGGATATGTAAAGAACTCATAACTCAGACAATCCAATAAAAAATTTTTTAAAACATGCACTAATTGTTGCAGAGAACATAGAGAAAAACTACACCTTTCATATTATTGACAGGCATGTAAGACGGTATGGCCAATTACAAAAACACTCTGGTGCTTTTCTTTACAAAGTTCAGTGTACACTTAGCATGTGGTGCAGCAACTCCACTGCCAGACGTCTGCCCAGGAGAGATGAAGACCTGTGCACAAAGACTTGCCACCCATGTTCACAGCATTATTCACGGTAGCCAAAAAGTGGGAAAAACCCAACTTCCACAACTGATGAATGCATAGAATGTAGCGTGTCCATACAATGGAGTACCATCAGCAGTGCAAAGGGACAAAGGGTAGTACTCATACATGCCACAACATTAATGAACCTCAGGGTAACCAGAAGTGAAAGAAGCCAGATGCATGAGACATATGACTGCATTTATATGAAATGTCCAGAAAAGGCAAATCCGTGGAGAGAGAACACAGGTCACTGGTTGCCTGGGCAAGGGGTGAGAGTGGGGATGAACTACGAAGGGCACAAGAGAATTTTTAGGATGTTGTTCAGGAACTGTGTCGTCATGGTTGCTGTACACTTAAAATGGGTGAATTTTATAGTATGTAAATTGTACCTCAATAAAGCTGTTAATAAGGGGGAGAATAGCAATGTCATCTAAAATTTTTTAAACTTAAATATTCTACAAAGTTTTTTAAATGTTAAATCAACCCTTAGCAACTCAAATTATGTACTTTTATTTTCATTTTATTATTTTCATGGAGACAGGGTCTTGCTATGTTGTCCAGGCTGGATTTGAACTCAAAGGTTTAAGGGATCCTCCTGCCTCAGCCTCCCAAGTAGGTACAACTACAGGTGAGTACCACTGTGCTCAGCAAATCATGCACTTTTACTGAGACAATTCATCTGTTACCCTCTTATGGAAAAAGTCTATTTATTATTTTTTTAGGTTGATTCTTTTTTAATCCTCATTTTACAAATGAGGAAATTGAAACACAGAATAATTGTCTTGCGTGAGGTCACACAGCCAGTAAGTAGTGGTACCATTAATGGAAAGCGGGGACACTGGAAAAGCAACACACAAAAGTGGTTCTCCTGAGTTTTTAGAGTATGGGTGAGTGAATCATGACAGTTTTTCTCACCGCATGGTTCTAGAACTCCCGATCTGTTCTTTTCACAAAAGAAAAAAGGAGGCCCTGTACTTGGAGACCTTTGGCAGCTACTTCCCCATCCCTTTCCACCTGGACCTCCTTTGCCCCACCGCCCCAGTCTTCGCAGTGTGAGTTCTACTCGTCGCACTTTCTCCTCAGCATTGGGCTTTTCCTGGAAGGAGCTTTGGTTTGTGAGTTGCAGGAGTCCCCAGGGCCCAGCTGCCTCCCTCCAGACCTCACTCTGCCCTGTGTTCCGCCCCTCCCTGCATCAGAGGCTCTTCTCAGCTCAGCCTGCTGTGCTTGCCCAGCAGATACCCTAATTGCTTCTCTCTTTTATATCTGTTACTTTCTCTTACATTCTGTTTACATTCTCATGCCATGCAGGGTTTGTAGTTAGTAATTTGTCCCTGTTCACTCATATGTTGGCTTTCATGGTGATACCTTGTTACAAAATATGGTTGTATATACAACAGTATGCAGCTTATGGTTTCTTGGTATTGCTGTTCTAATTGTGCTCTCTTCATGTGGGGATCTAGAGAGATGAAAAATACTCTACAAATGTCATTCCCATTTTCCCAGAATCCCCACTCTAGGTGGTTTCCACGTCACCCTCTCTTTCCTATAATAGTTGAGAACAGTGGCTTATTATTTCTGTTTTTTATCTTAAGTTTTCATATCTTGGTTATGCTAATTTTGTTAAATGAACTGAATGGCTTTTTATAATTCTTTTTTTTTTTTTTTGAGACAGAGTCTCACTGTGTTGCCCAGGCTAGAGTGCCGTGGCGTCATCCTAGCTCACAGCAACCTCAAACTCCTGGCTCAAGCGATCCTTCTGCCTCAGCCTCCCGAGTAGCAGGGACTACAGGCATGCGCCACCATGCCCGGCTAATTTTTTTTTTCTATGTATTTTTAGTTATCCAATTAATTTCTTTCTATTTTTAGTAGAGACAGGGTCTCGCTCTTGCTCAGGCTGGTTTTGAACTGCTGAGCTCAAACAATCCGCCCACCTCGGCCTCCCAGAGTGCTAGGATTACAGGCGTGAGCCACCGCGCCCGGCCTATAATTCTTTTATTACTGCTTTCTTAAAATTTTGAAAATACTTGCTCATAAAAATTAAATTTGGGGGGTAAATTTTGACCATTTTTTCTCCATGATTAGTCAGGTTTTCTACATTTTCTTGAGTCTGCTTTTGTTATTAATATCTTCCTAGAAAATCACTTCAAAATTCCAAATTTATTATCTTAGAGTTGTCTATAGCATTCTCTTGCTATAATTTTAAAAACCTTACCTGGGGTTATCGACTTTTTCCTTCCTACTTGGCATATATGTTTTACCACTTTTATTCAGATTATATCTATTGTTAAGGATATCTTTTTCTTTCTTTTTTTTAGGGGGGGATGAGAGAGAGAGATCAAGGATGTCTATTTTTCTTAATGAACCAGCTTTTGGAATAACAGTCTTAAAATTCTTATTTTCTGATAGATACTTTATTTTTGTTTTTTTGAGACAGGGACTGGCTCTGTTTCCCAGGCTAGAGTGCAGTGGTATCGTCATAGCTCACTGCAACCTCAAGCTTTTGGGCTCAAGTGATCTTTCTGCCTCAGCCTCCTGAGTAGCTGGGACTACAGGCGCAGACCACCATGCCTGGCTGATTTTTCTATTTTTTTTGTAGAGACAGAGTCTTGCTTATTGCCCAGGCTTGTTTCAAACTTCTAGCCTCAAGCAATCCTCTTGCCTAAACATACAGGTGTGAGCCACCACTTCTGGCCTTTGATAGAAGACCTTGTGAGATGATTTTGTTAATGCCTTCCTTCTACTTTCCTTGTGTTTTGTTATTCCTCCTTTCTACCTTTTGGGGCTGAATGTTTAGGTTACTTTATTGTTTAATAATGAAAACAATACTATAAATTTTCTCTGGTTATAGTTTGGGCCATGTCTTATAGGTAATGTTAAAGCTATTTCAACTTCTAAGTATTCTTAGAAATGCAATTTGATTTTCTCTAAGTATTATTTAGAAGAATAAAGGACTTTAAGTTTGGTGGGACTTTTTGTTGTTGCTTGTTTTGTTTTTGCTTTTAAAAATCAACATACCTGGTCCTTCTTTAACAGAAATGTCATCTTCTTTATCGATGTGTTGTAATCTGCTACTATCTTTGACTTCAAATTTTGAGACTGCTTCCAGATTTGTCCCAGGCCCCGAGTTTACATCATATGTCGCAGTTTGGGCTACAAGTTAATAAATTTTATGTTAACTTTGTGGTTTAAGACTCACTTAATATGTTCTTTTGCCAAAATGTCATTTTTCATATTATTCGTTTTGAAATTAAGGCCTTCCAAATTAGCTTTGTTGATCACTGTATGTTGTCCTTAGATGTGTTAAATATACAAGGAGTGATCAGAAAACCTAAAAGACAGCTCCCTACGCCTTCACTGAGGTGAATGGGACCACTACAGGCAGGGTAGACAGAGGAATGACAAGAATTGTAGGAGAGACTTTTTTGTGCTGCCCTTCACAGGGCTACAAGTGAACTGTTCAAATCTCTGGGACAAAATATTTGACAACATCTGTCTTTTATTTATTCAAAGTCTGAAATGCTTTTAAAACAAGGATAGCTATGTGCTGAGTGGATCCTCTCCTAGAGAGCTAGACATCTGGTTACTCTCACAAAAATAATTTCCCACTGATTAGCCCTCTTTATCCTCTTCTTATCTAGGCTAAGTAATCTCTAACTCTTTCAAACTACCATCATTTCTGTCCCTCCTTTCAAGGAATTCTGATTTTCTAGTCACTTGGCAGATTTTAAAAATCAGAGAATTGAAATATATACAATCCAGGACTCTAAGGTCAGAGCAAGACCCGAATATGGTGAAAGATTACTTCCTGTGTTCATCAATGAACTCTCAATGAGCCACCGGCTAGCCGGAGGACGGTAAGTCACAGCCATGGCATGTAGTAATCAGATGAAGCGGGACTTTGAGAGAAGATGCCACATGGGCCAAGGGAACCAGCCACAGGCGCAGCGGCTGATGCACAGGTGGCACTCAGCCAGGGGTAAAGGAGTGACCAGCGAGATCCAGGCAAAATCAAGGCATAGCTAGAACTGGGGATACCAGCCAATAATAACAGTAAAGTACATTAATTGGGGTTCCATTTTTAGTTCTCTCTCTCTTACAGAAACTGTATGTCTTGATTATGGCACTTTGGGAAAGTGCTCAGGAAATGTGGTTCTCCGGTAGGACGCCGAACACGGAGGAAAATGACACAGCCCTGCAGATTCGTACCAGAGGGAGAAGAAACCAGGACAGTAAGGGGTCGCAGGAGCCAAGTGAGAGAGTATTTCGAGAAGCTGAGAGTTTTCATTCCTACTGAGAGATCAGTTCACGTGAAGGCAGAAGTACTGACAGTGACGTGACGGAGGTCACTGCCGACGAGGAAGCACAGTCAGTGGTGCAGGGAGGACAAGGGCTAGGTGGAGCAAGCCGAGGGAGAAACAGGAGAGCAGCTGGAGAAGAAGTGTGTGTGTGTGGCTTTCCCAGACGCCGGTCAGCGAAGGGAACAGAGAAAGACAGTGGACTCTAGCAGGGCATGTGAGAGGAAAGAAAGTTTTTCCTTACTGGACACACTGGAGCGTGGGTGTGGGTGTGTGCACACTGGTGGGGAGGACCCATTAGAGAGGGAGGAGGTCATGGGAAACGACAGTCACCGTAGAGCGGATGCAGGGGCGAGGCAGGATGAGGGCCCAGGACACAGTCCACCATAGAGGCACAGTGAGAAAAGGAGGAACACCAGGAGGCTGCTGTGGCACGGAAGCGAGGCCACATGCAGCCAGGAGGGCCAGCGAGGTGGCGGGAAACTGCCACTGTGTTATGCACATGGGGAACGATAGGCGGGGTGAGGGCGGAAGCCCAAGCGCACAGTGAGGCATCACCCGGGAGGGAGGACATGCGGCCAGCAGGCAGAGAGCTCTAGAGATGCTTTCCAGGAAAAAGGAGAAAGGATAACAAGAGGAGTATGAGGGATTGAACAAGGGTTTGTTTGTTATTTTTAATTTGAGCATCTTTAAAAACCAAAGAGAATGAGACTCTTGAGAGAAAAGTTGATTGTAAAGAAAATATGTAATCAGCGTCATCCGACTCCGAGGGAGAGGTGTGCAGGGCCGGGGACAGGTCCAGCCGTCCTGGGACAGACTGAGCGCCGTACAGTTCCACTTTGAAAGTGAACTCCGTCAAGCCAAAGGGAAGAATTAGAAGCAGCTATAGGAGCCTCATGATATATAAAAAAAGATGGTTGTAAATTTTTATAGATTTTATATAATTTGTAAGCAACAACAGTTTGTAAATATTAAAGTTCTACAGCTAAAAGACTCACCATTTTGAAGGAGAAGAAAGGTTAGCCCTTTTGCTGCAGATTTAAAACTGATTCTGGAAACTTTCTCATCACTTAGAGACTTCCCGACCTTGAGTTTTACATTTAAAAAAAAATCATAAAGCAAAGTATTACTTTTGCATCATTATGGACTAAAATTAGTTTAAAGTTTTACATTGTAAATAATGAGAAAATTATTAATGAGGACATTCTCTTTGAGCTAATTTAACTATTTTTAACCTGCATAAAATACTAATATTTGTACTATTAAAGAAATTAATAAGAGAGTTATTGCACGTACTGAAAGGCTCCCCCCAAAAAACCCAAAGACCTGAAAAATATCCCCTGGGTCTGTTGGGAAAGCATTTATTGTGTAGAATTAACCGTGCTCAAATTCACGTATTAGTGGCTCTCACTAGCACACTTGTGCTGTAAGTCCCACACTTCTACCTCCAGCCGGAGTTTGCCCTTGAACTCCAGTCTTATCTCCAGCCACATACCGCTCTAATCAGGCACCTTAAGCCTCACATGTCCAGGATCAACCCCTTTGTTTTGCCCCCAAAACTCATCCCCCTCCCCCAGTCTTCCCATCATAATAAATGGCAACTCTATTCTAATTGCTCAGGCCAAAAACCTTAAAATCATCTTTGCCTTCTCTTTCCCTTGCAAACCCCACACCCTTTAGAACACATTGGACCAGAGCCCACCTTAGTCCAAGACACCATCACCTCCAACCGGGATGGTTCCAAGAGCTTCCTTGCTGGTTTGTCAACAGCAACGCCACAGAGAGCCTACTGACACCTCTGCTCGGAGAGCTCCCGTCCCACCTCACCCAGAGTAAAAGCCAGGGCCTCACCTCGGCCAGACGCCCTTCCAGCACCTAGACGTCGTAAGTGTGAAGTAGAGCTTGTGGTAACAGGTGCAAACTCTGGAGTCAAACTGCCTGGGTACAAATCCCCAGCTCCACTACTTCTGGGACCATGGGCAAGTTTCTTAACATTTCTGTGTCTCACCCGCCTCCTAGAAATGGCAAACGTACCTAAAGGTTGCTTGAGGACATTCAATGAGCTAGTACCTAGGAACTGCCTGGCACCTGGTAAACCCCATAATGTTAGCTGCTACTATCGTTCACTTGCTGTCCTCTCTCCCCTTCTCACAAAAAGCCCGTTAGGGAACGGGCCTTTGGTTCCCTGCCAGGTCCCTAACACATAGTGCCTTTCACATAGGGGGCGCTCAGTCATGGGCGACACTACAGCTGTTACATGGTTAGCTGTAAATACAAACCTCTGATTTCCTTATTTTGTTAATATCAGGCCAGAGTCCCAACTTGCTGGAAGATGACTTGGCACTGCCACAGTGATCAGATTCGTGGCTTGTAACCGCACTTGGACTCCAGTTCTGGGTGCCCTAAGCAGGGATGAACACATCAAAGGATTTCTGGTTTCCATGGGGATGTGTGTGTGTGTGTGTGTGTGTGTGTGTGTACATACACACACATATGATTTTAATGAGGTATAACTGATTTACAATAAACTACACATACAGTACACTATTTGATGAATTCTGACATGTCTACACCTATGAGACTATCACCTTGGTCACGACAGTGAACCTGTCTACCATCCCCAAGTTTCTTGTGCCCCTGGAAATCTATCCTCTTCCCCTATTGCCAGGCAAACACCAATTTGCTTCCCATCACTACAGATTACTTTGCACTTTCTAGAATTTTATATAAATGGAATCACATAGTACATTGTGTACCCTTTCTGCCTGGATTCTTTCATAATTATTTAGAGGTTCGTCCATGTTGCTGCATGTAGCATGAGTTACTGTCTTGTGGAGTCATAGTCCATTGTACAGATATGATATGATCTGCTTATCTTGGTGGGCTGTCTGCAGACTTCAACTACTGGACTTGTTTTATGACCCAGGATATAATGTGTCTTGGTAAATGTTTCACGTACGCTGGAAAAGAGCATGGGTTCTGCTGCTGTTGTCATTTAGATCAAGTGGGTTAATAGTGTTATTCAAAGCTTCTATATGCTACTGATTATTAATTTAGCAGGGCTAAATCTCTATCATTGTTGATTGGTCTGTTTTCTCTTTCTGTTCTGTCAGTTTCCACATGTACTTTGAAGCTCTGCTATAATGTACATACCCATTTAGGATTATGTCCTTTTACTTCCCTGACCCCTTTGTCACTATGCAGTGACACTCTGTCCCTGGTAATACCCTTTACTCTGAAATCTAATTTGCCTGATATTGATGTAGCCACCTAAGCTTTCACTGAATAGTGTTTTTTCCATACTTTTACCTCTTTGTGTCTTTATACTTGAAATGGGTTTATTGTAGACAGTTTGTAGTTAGTTCGATCTGACAATCTATGCCTTTTATTTGGGTTGTTAGGTCACTTACATTTAAAGCAATTATCTGCCATGTTGCTATTTTTGCTTGCTATTTGTTTCCTTCTTTTTCTTCTGCCGCCTTTTGGATTTAGTATTTTTTATATTTCTATTTTATCACCTTTACTGATTTTTTCACCATAACTTTGTTTTTAATCACACCTTATGAGTATTTTAATGATTTATAGTATACTTTTTTTTTTTTTATGAGACGAGTCTCACTCTGTCACCCAAGCTGGAGCGCAATGGTGCAATCACAGCTCACTGCAGCTTCAAACTCCAGGGCTCAAGTGATCCTCCGGCCTCAGCCTCCCAAGCAGCTGGGACTACAGGTATGTGTACCACTACTCCCAGCGTTTATAGTATACTTCTTTAACTCAGCACTGTCTGCCTTCAGGTGATACTATACCACATCGCATCTAGCATAAGAATCTTAAAACGCTAAACTCCCATTTCTCCTCTCTTAGTCTTTGCACTATCATTGTCATACTTCATATGTTATAAACCTCACAAACACTGTTATTATCATTGCTTTAAACAGTCAATTCTCAGGAGATTTCAAAACAGAAAAAATTGTATTTATCCACAAAGTTACTATTTCCAGTTGTCTTTATGGCTTTGTATAGGTCTAGATTTCCATCTGATAACATTTTCCTTTTGCCTGAAGGGCTTACTTTAACTTTTTTTTTTTTCTTTTCTGAGACAGAGTCTCACTGTGTTGCCCAGGCTAGAGTGCCGTGGCGTCAGCTCACAGCAACCTCAAATTCCTGGGCTCAAGCGATCCTCCTGCCTCAGCTTCCTGAGGAGCTGGGACTACAGGCATGCGCCACCATGCCCGGCTAATTTTTTCTATATATTTTTAGTTGTCCAATTAATTTCTTTCTATTTTTAGTAGAGACGGGGTCTCGCTCTTGCTCAGGCTGTTTTCGAACTCCCTAGCTCAAACAATCCGCCCGCCTCGGCCTCCCAGAGAGCTAGGATTACAGGCGTGAGCCACCGCGCCCGGCCAACATTTCTTTAATGGCTGGTCTTCTGGCGATGAATTCTTTCAGCATTTGTATGTCTGAGAAGTCTTTATTTCCCTTCACTTTTTAAAATTATGGTAAAATATACATAACAAAAATTGCCATCTTAACCATTTTTAAGTGCACAGTTGAGTGGCACTAAGCACATTCGTATTGTGCAACCATCACCACCATCCACCTTCAGAGCTCTTTTCATCTTGTAAAATTGAAACTCTACCTATCAAACAATAACTCCCCATTTGCACTTCCCCTCAGCCCCTGGCAACTACATTCCACATTTTCTGTCTCTGTGAGGTTGACGACACTAGGTACCTCATATAGGTAGAATCTTATAATATTTTCCCTTTTGTGACTGGCTCATTTCACTTAGCATAATGTCTTAGATTCATCTATCTTGTAGGATAGGTCAGAATTCCTTCCTTTTTAAGGCAGAATAATATTCCATTGTCTGAATAAGCCACATTTTCGCCTATCCATTCATCTGTCAATGGACATTTGTGTTGCTTCCACATTGTAGCTATTGTGAGTAATGCTGCTGTGAACATGGGTGTGCAAATACCCCTTCAAGACCCCGCTTTCAGTGCTTTTGGGTATATCCCCAGAAGTGACTTGCCATTTTTCACAGTGGTTGTGCCATTTTACATTTCCACCACCAGTGCACAAGGCTTCCAGATTCTCCACATCCTTCTGAGAGTAGTCAACCTAATGGGTGTGAAGAGGTTTTTATTTGTATTTCCCTGGAACTCCCACAATCCATATGTGGGTCCACTTGATGGTGGGTCCTGGAGGCTCTGTTCACTCTTCAGTCTTTTTTCTTTCTGTTCCTCAGACTCAATAATTTCAGTTGTCCTATCTTCAAGTTCCCTGATTCATTCCTCAGCCTGCTCAAGTCTGCAGTTGAATCCTGCAAATGAATTTTTCATTTGTTATTATACATTCCAGCTCAAGAATTTTTTTATTTTTCTATAGGTATTCCATGTCTTTGTCGATATTTGTACTTTGTTCATATATCATTTTCTTGACTTTCTCTACACCTTTAGAACTTTGTGCATCTTTAGAGTAGTTGTTTTAAAGTCTTTGTCCCATAGGTCTGCCATCTGGTCTTTCTCAGGGACAGTTTCTGTTGGTTTACCTTTTCCTTTGAATGGAGCACACTTCCTTGTTTCTTTATATGCCTCACGCTTTTTGGTAAAAACTGAATGTTTGAATCTAATAATGTGGTAACTCTGGGAATCAGAGTTTTTTATAACTATTAATTAAGTGAATGTAGGCCGTCTCTATGCTGAGGATCAGCCTAAGGTGTAAACTTAAGATCTTCTCAGGTCTTTTACAAGCCTTCACCTTTCTCTGGGCATGCCGTGACTTCCTAACTTCCCCCATATGTGTAGTTGCTTTTGAATGTCCTAGTCTTCAATGTGTGGCTCCTAAAGGGGAAAAAAATTTTTTAGATGAAAGGGGTAGGGGTGGCGAATGCTGGCCCTTTAAATTCTCTGAAAGTTACTTCAATCATGGAGAAGAGCTTGCAAATGCAGGGAGTGGGTACAATGATGGCTGCCTGCTCTGTGTCGGCAGCTCTGCAATCAGAAGCAGAAAACCAGTGATCAGAACACAAATCCAAATATTTGGAGGACAAGGTCCCTGCTGCCTATCCTGGTTCCCACAAACTGCCTGCAGGCTGCTCCAGGGACAGGTGCACAGCTGCCCGACACAGTGCTGACAGCGTCGGGTGGGTAGCCGCTGCTAGGCTAAGAGCTGAAGTTGACCGAAATTAACCCCAATTGACCTCTGAAACTTCTCCCTGGAAGTTACAAGCCTCCAACAAACTCCAGAGTTCCAAAGAGTTACACAAACAGATTCTGCTAGTATGATTGTTGCCTAGGCAGGGAGCCAGCCTCCTGGTGCTTCAGGCTGCCATCCCTCCAGAATTCTCTGTCTCCACCTTCACTTTTGAAAGACCTTTTTTTGGGTATTAAATTCTAGGCAGACAGGATCTTTTTTCTTTGAGTACTTTCAAGATGCTGCTCCACTGGAACAGGAAGTCTGTTATCATTCCCATCTCCGTGGCTCTGTATGTTACATGTCTTTAGAGCAATTTTGGTTATAATGTTCCTCGATATAGTCTTCTTTGTATTTCCTCTGTTGGGATTTGTTGAGCTTCTGGGATCTGTGGATCTATGGTTTTCATAAACTTTGGAAATTTTTCAGCCATTATTTCTTCAAATAATTTTTTTGTTTCCTCTCTTCTTCTGGGATGTGAATTACACATATATTAGGGCTGCTTAACGTGTCACAGCCTGAGGATACTGATTATTTTTTTCCAGCCTTTTTTTTCTGTGTGCTTTAGTTTCTATTGCTGTGTCTTCAAGTTTAATCTTTTCTTTTGTGGAGTCCAATCTGTTGTTTAGTCCATCCAGAGTGTTTTTCATCAGTAATAGCTCTCCTTAGCATGTTCGTGCTTTCCTCTGCATCCTTGAACATACTTGTCTTATCATTTTTGTCACTTCTGGGTGTGCTTTTACTGACCGTGTCTTCTCATGACAGTTCAGACTTGCTGCTTCCTTACATTAGATGTTATCATGAGATGCTGTAATTCTGAATTTTACATTGTTGAGTGTTGCAAATGTTTAGCATTCCTTTTTTTTTTTTTTTTGCTTTGTTCTAAGTTACTTGGAAATAGTTTGATCCTTTTGAGTCTTGCTTTTTAAGCTTTGTCAAGAGCCGCCAGAACAGCCTTTAACCGAGGACCTCCATGCTGCAGCAGTACGCTGTCCAGTATTCAGCCCAATGCTGAGGTGCTGAGATTGAACAGGAAGTCCCCAGCTTCCCCACAAAGAATCCAAGTCATATCCATGGTATCTGTGGTAAGAGATGCCCCTTGGACAACAGTGAGAAGGTTGCTCACGTGCACAGCTCTGAAGAATTCTCCAGCTGTGGGGCTCACGGGGCCCCCCCAGACTCTCCCCTGTGGCTCCAAATGCATGTCTCAAAAACCAGAAATCCTTGGAACCCACCAGACTGAAACCCCCATCGAAAGTTGATTTGTCTCAATTTGACCCAGCGGCTGGATCCTTCATAAATTGCCAACACCATCCCTGCTCTGCCAGCGTGTCACAGCAAAGCCTGGAGTGTCCATCCTTGTGAGCAAGCCCTGTCCTCGGGGACTTGTTTAGCATCTCCTGTGCATTCAGAAACTGTTCCTTGAAAAATTTGCTCTGGGACAGGCTTTCCACTCTCACAACGCTAGATACAGAAAACATTTCATAATAAAATACCTCGGGTTGTCTAATCTGGTCTAGTGGTCCACCTAGCATGTCGGTGTGCACCCCAGCCTTCGGGACTCTACTTCATGGGCCAGGGCCAGGAAACACATTTTCCCTAACTTAAAAAAGAAAAAACACCAGTACATTCCTTTCAAAATGTGAACTGACAAATTATTTCTTAAGTTTTAACTTACTTCCTAGAAGGTTACAAAAGCCCAAGATAGTTTTGATGAAGGCGTAACCATTCAAGAATAAAACCATTTCTTGTTCTGTAAATTCTAAGATATTTGTTACCTGATTTGTTGCTGTGTAAATATTTGAATATTTGTTTCCAGACAAATCATCATTTGGAACATTCACACACGATTTGGTCATTTCGTCAGTAACACAGATGAGTGCAAAGCTTAAGAGGGCTTCAAAGAATTCCAGGAAAACCAACTGAAATACAAGAAAACACAGAGGGTCTCATTCACCCTGACACAACTGGTGGTGGACCAGTGATTGATTTAGGTGTTCATTTCTTATTAATCATTACTTCCTGACATCTGAAATATCCTTCTTTTTAACATTAACCTCTACTTTCTAATGCAATCAAGAATATATAGTTTCAGGAATCTGGGTTCAGATTATTTTCATTGGCAAAACAAACAGCCTAAATCAAATGTGTATCATTTGTGAGGACTCTTTACAAACCTCAAGTTCAAAATTGCTGTCAATTCCATCAGATATGAAAGGATTATCCTCTGCTATTACCTCCACAAATTTGGTTGGTGTTAATTCTTTGTTTATCATTTTAAAATCCTGTAAAAGAACCAACCAAACCATAACTATCTATAATTACAAACAGCTATATATACCTGGCTCAAGTGAGCCTCCCACCTCAGCCTCCCAAAATGCTGGGATTACAGGTGTGAGCCACCACACCCAGCCTATATATTTTAACATCAGTTTATATCAATACAACAATTTAAGAAAATGTACCAGAAATTAATATCTCAAGAACTGATAGTTTTGAAAAGCATTCTGAATTTATACTGGTATTTACCTCTGTCCCTCCCTTAGTCCCTCTATTAGTAAAACATTTTTTTGGCATAAGCACAGACATAGAAAATGGGGGTGTAGATGATCCAGGTGTGAAATATTAACTCAACTCTATAGGCTGGGAGGCCAGGAGTTTAAGACCAGCCTGAGCAACAAAGCAAGACCCCCATCTCTACAAAAAATAGAAAAATTAGCTGGGCGTGGTGGCACACCTGTAGTCCCACCTCCTTAGGAGGCTGAGCCAGGAGGCTCACTTGAGGCTAGGAGTTTGAGGTTATAGTGAGCTATGATGATGCCACTGTACTCTAGCCCAGGCGACAGAATGAGAGACCTTGTCCCAAAAAAATAATAAAAATGACTGCAATGGATTGAAACACATCAAATTATATAAATCCAGGCATTAATATTTTTTAAAGCTCATTAGTCACTTTCAAAGAATTGCAAGGATATCAACTTATTCTGAAAATAAATGAAAACATAAAACATTTCTCTCTCCTGTATGGACTGTATTTCAGAGTACTCAGATATCTGATGAATACAAGTAAAGTTCTTCTTTAAGATTCGCAGCTAATAAATGCAGAAGAAATGACAGAATTAGAAATTTACCATTGTGCAACTCCTAGTGAAATAATGGTCATTAGCAATGACCACTGGGGGTTGCTAAAGCCACTAGGGAGAGGTTTATGGAAACCATTCTAATGGGAGGATCATGCCGACACCATGCGAACCCAGTGATCGGTCTCAGCGTCGGGGAAAGGGAACCTTCCTGATGTGATGCAGTAAGAAGGACACAGAACCACCTGTGGCTGTGTCAGAAACAAAACACTAACTCTGACTACCACTTACTGGAAGTGCGGGGGAAAGAAGAGCATGTTAGACACCACCACGAGGATGCAGGCAGCCAAACTCAGGGTGGCTGACCCACCCTGCAGGGACAGATGACCTAGTTCCTGCATAATAAATGACCATGAAGGTGAATAAACAGCTGTATAATATTCCATCCCCCCAGATCACATACTTTTAAACAACTATTTTCCTATAGTTAGACACTAGGTTTTTGTCAGTGTATACAACAGTGTTAAATTTTGGAAAACACTCTATCATTAGCATTCAATTCTTCTAATTTCATCATTTGTATTCCTACAAGCATAAATCAAAAGTATCATGCAATGAAAAACTACCAATAATTGGTATGAGACCACTGTATAAATAAGACATCACTATTTTCCAAATGAATAACTTTTAAAAATTACTTTTTTAATGAACAATAATTTTTTAAAATGACATTCATCCTCCCATCTTCCTTCCTTTCCTTATTTTTTTAAAGATTTCAATTGGCTTTACTGTGATTTTGGGATTGGGAAACACTTCATTCCATAAAATAGAATAAATGTTCCCTCATCTTCCTTTAAATTCCCAGGTGTGCAGGAGTAACGATACCATAGGTAACAGGCCATCCTCTTCCCCTATGTGTGAGCACTTTAGGCAGGTGACCCATTTCTGTTCCTTCCTCCGTCACAGACCATTTGAATCACTCTCTTCTGCCAAAAGGGACTCAATGGCCAGGAAAATTCACCCCAGATTTCTACCTCCTTATTTGTATATGATAGCTAGAATATCTTGCCTTTCTTTAAAATCAAAATGCCTATAAATATAAAACCAATATCAAACTTAAGCGATTACTTTCAACATCCAGAGGAAGTGTCTCATCTTCATTGTTGGCTCGTGGGGCGGAGCTGTGTGTGGTCTGCAGTAAGCGAGATAGATCTCCCAGCACTTATCAATGTAATTCATTGAATAGAGCGTCCGCTGTTGCTCACGGAATAAACGGCCTAAAAATACAACATTCAAAAAATGATTACACATTTATATTTTGAAAAAATGGTGGTAAATATAATCCTATTGTTTTTGTATTTACCTTTGACGTGGCAGGCATTTGGATGAATGTTCTCAGTCATCAGTTTTGTAAAACACAAAAAAAGCGATGGGCTTCTATCCCTGTGATTAAAAAGAGATCGTAATTACCCCTCTCTCCAGGAGTTGGAACTTAATTCCCCTCTCCTTGTGTGTGGGCTAGATCTAATAATTTGCTTCTAACGACTAGAGTATAGAAAGAGAAAAATAGTGCGTTTACAGTAGAAAAACCTGACACCACTCTAGCTGAGTGGTCAAGGTCAACATCACTAGTAATAAGACACAGTGACATCGGGCATCCTACACAGTATGATGAGAAGGCCAGCTCACCTCCACAGCATTCTTCCCCGCAACCCACAACCTCAGTGTCGTCATGAGAAAACATCAGCAAGCCAAGATCAAGGGACATTATACAAAATAACTGGCCAGTCTTTTTTGAAGTGTCAAGGTCACAAATGACAAAGTCTGAGAAACTATCACAGATTGGAGGAGACTGAGAGGACGAGACAGCAAAGTGCCGTGTAGGATCCTGGATCTGGGAACAGGAACAGGACATCAGTGACAGACTGGGGAAACCCTAATAGCGTCTATAATTTAGTCAGTGCAGTTATAGCCGTGTTCACTCTTTACTTTTGATAAACATCCATGGTTATGTAAGAGGTTAACCTTCGGGGAATTTGGGTGAAGGCTATATAGGTACTAATTCACTTGGCAACACTTCCATAAATCTAAAACTATTTCAAAACAAAAAGTTTTGTTTTTTTAAAAAAAAGATATAATATTACTTTTGCTGTAAGACATACAGGAGATTCTGACCTAAAAAGGAAGAGTAGGTTTATTTCTGAATTAAACTCCAAGAGGTATTTGCAATATTGAAACAACTCAGATGTGAAGGGTTTTCAAAGTTTTAGTCTGGTATCTCATAGCTTGGTGGTTAATATTTGCGGAAAAGTTTTGTTTTTCGTCCTTTATTTCAAGACTATGTAAAAAACAATGACTGTTGAAGAAAAGAGGACAACACGATAACTACAGTCCAGGTTAGCTCTGCCCCGTCTCCTTACGGTGGTACTTACTGGAACTCTCTGTGGTGAATGTGGTGAGCCAACTGCAGGAGATAGTTCAGAAATGTTCTCAGAAGTATCGTTGTAAATGGACAATGAATGTCCTCAACTGGTATGTCCTTATTGGCTAAAATAAGAAAATGGAGAGGATGCCTAGTATTTTCTAGAGCCTTCTATTGGATTTGCTCCTGGTACCCAATTCAAAGAACTGAATACAATGGAGTACTTACTTCCTCGAGAATACACTGAACATACATAAACATCCAGGTAAAAAATAAGTCCCAGGTAAAAGATCTCTATCTGGTTACTGTACAAGAAACTTATAAGATATCTTGTCCAAGTGTTTTTCAGAGTAGTCTGAGCCACAGTTTGATTCATGCGCTAATGCTAAGTGGATTTTATGTATTTTTCAAATGCTTAATATTTTGTTTTTCAAGTAGATAATTTGAGGCTTTCAGTTCTACCTCTCAGAATTCAGCTGAAAGGAGTAAAACCTTCAAAGCTGTTGAATTTATCATATGAACTTTCTAACTTGAAATTAAGACCAATCCTAAGACTACCTAGAGCCTTTTCTAGACTATTCCAAGCCCTCGCTGATCCTCCCTCCTTCTGACCTGACAATTTAGTGCTTTTTTACTATAGACAGCGGTAGGAGAAGGTAGGCAAACTTTTCTATGAAGGGCCGGATGTTAACTGTATTAGGCTTGGTGGTCCAGACAGTCTCTGTCGCAATCGCTCAGCACTGGTGTTGTGGGGCAAAAGCAGCCACAGACGATACGCAACAAACAGGCATGGTGGTGTGTTCCGGTAACGCTCTGTTTACAAGGACAGGTTGACCTGGGCTGGATCTGGCCCATAGGCCACACTTTGCTGACCCCTGCTATACACAGTCTTGAACTGTTGCTGTTACTTCACAAAATTGTCTCTTTAAGTACAACACAAGCACCCTGAGAACAAGACCATATGCTGACTTCTGGAACACTTCTCCCAGCGTTTGCCTTCCCAGTCCCTCAATATCTCTTAACTGGTTTCCAGGTGATACGATGTTATACTGTCCTTTAAGCCATAAGATGCGAAGGACCTAGAATACTCACTACTTAATATCCTGTCCATATCAGCAAGAGTTATTTTGTGGTGATGAAATTTGCAATCTTTTAGAAATCTCCAGAAGTGAAGCTTTGTCATCAGAAAGGTGTTATCCAGAGAGTGATCACATCCTAGGCTGCTATAAAAGCTATAGATTCTTCTTAATTCTGTAATATTTCTTAAGATAGCATATTCTGCCTGAAAAGAAGTAATTATGCATATCTTAATCCTGCATAATAAGCACAAATGTAAAAGACACAACACCTGTTTTCTAATAAATGACATAACACATGTAAAGTAATGGCATTTACCTCTTACCTAAGAGCTTGATAGATGTTTCCTTCTGCCAGGTCAATAGAATGCAATTTCTGACCAACAGTAAATAAATATGTTGTTATCTGGAAAATGGAATTCTTCTGATACCGCTGTGGGATGGCAGCCTGTCTCGAGAGCCGCAATAAAACTGTGCTGTCTACAGATCAATATCCCTCATAAACATATATGCAAAAATCCTTGACAAAATAAACTGAATCCAGCAATACATAAAAAGGATAATACACAAACACCAAGTGGGGTTTGTCCTGGGATTGCAAAGCTGGTTTGACATTTGAAAAATCAATCAGTGTAATCCACCATATTGATAATCCAAAAAAGAACCACATGATCATATCAATTGATACATTTGACCGAATTCAACATCCATTCATGGTAAACACCCTCAGCAAATAGGAATAGAAAGAAGCTCCTTACCCTGGTAAACGGCACGTACAGAAACGACGCAGCTAACATCATACTTAAGGCTGAGAGTCTGAAATACGCAATACTCACACTGATTGCTTTGTTACCTCCTCTCCATCCCTTTCACCTTCTGGTGTTTTCTTCAGGCCCCCGGAGCCCTTACGCTGCCCCAGATTCCCCACACATGCAGCCCTGCAGTCTGAACACTGTCCTGGGCTCCAAAACCTCTCACCCCATGCCTCATCAGCATAAATGAAACTTCAGAGAACGCAAAGAACAGTATTTGGGGTCCCCAGGGAAGCAAAAAAGCCCTAGCTGGGCAGCGGCATCAGGCATCTGATGCTCTCAGTATTAATTCCTGCATTTTAAAAATCAATTCAATTGTATAGACATTTATAGTCTTCCCCATCTAAAGCATTGTTCTAGAGCACAACATGGAATTTGTCTTCATGGAGCTTAAAATATAGAAAAAAAGACAAGACATATACGCACAATAAGGAAGTATCATCGCTGGGACAGAGCCATGGGAAAGGAGAGATGGATTTTAAATAAGCAGCTCCCTGGAGGACGCTGCACTAGAACTGAGCCTGGGAGAGTGGGAAAATGCACAGGACTCCCTGGAGAGCAGACACCGAGGGGAGGCTGGGCCTGGGGGCAGCCAGGGTGGGTGCTCCCAGAATGCTAGTAGGGCTGCATGCCCTGGAGCAAGGCTGTCACCTCTCTCTGCCTCAGTCCCTCATGTGCAATGCGGCACGCCCACAGCCCTGCCCCAGAGGCTGCTGGAAGGACTCAGCGAATTAAAGGCATCTGGAACCGTGCCCAGAGCAAAGTGCCACCATGTTCGTGTTGTTGCCATGCGAGTTCACGGTGAGGAGGGGAACCGATGGAGGCTGGAAAGATGGGCTGGCGCTGGATCACAGCAGGCCCTGAATACCAACTAGGTACATGGAACTGACAGCAGAGGCAACTGTGTGGATGAGAAAGGAGAGCTCGGAGGCTTAGAGGACCGCTCCGTGCTTGCTTGAGCTTGTTCTGGCTGAAACTAGAACAATCCAGAGCCTCTGGCTCAAAAAAAATACCCACATTTTGTCAAAATGATACCAATAACAGATAATAAATAAATAATCATAAGAAAACACCAAATAAACCCAAATTGAGAGGCATTCTACAAAATAGCTGACCAGTGTTCTTCAAAAGTCTCCGATCATGAAAGGCAGTGAAAGGTGGACTGTTCCAGATGGGGGAAGGCTAAGGAGACAGACACCAAACACAGAGTGGGATCCTGGGTCGAATCCTGGCACCGAAAAGGGCGTTAGGAGAAATAATGGCCAAATTCAAGCAAAGTGTGTGGTTTAGTTACTAGTGTAGCAAGGTTAACTGCTCGGATCTGATAAGTATACCATGGTTTTATACGATGATAACATTGGGGAAGCTGGGCGAAAGGTAGCTGGAAACTGTATGATTTTTGTAATTCTTTTGTAAGTCTGAAATCATCTCAAAACAAAAAGTAAAAAAAAAAACACTATGGAATATTTGCTAACTAAATTGCCATATGTCCATATAATGAAATATTGTATAGTCATTTAAAATGTTTAAAAGTATTCATAAAGTGTGGAATTATAGAATTCTTTCACTTTCTGTGTCACATATTTACATAATATTTGAATTTTTTATAAGAGCATGTGTTACTTTTGTAATTATAAAACAGTCAAGACATATTTTTAAAATACAAAATTTTTATAAGACCCACATATTTTGACACAGAATTCCAAACTAGAAAATGAATGATATCTATAATTTAGCTGGTGGCAGGGAAATAATAGAAACAACATGATCCCTCCTCTTTTGGTAAATCAATGTGTTAGTTTATTCATCTAAAATTATATTGTAGGAGAATACTTAATGGCACTGAATAGCTATCATCAAATACTACATGAAAATAGAGATGATATGAACACCGTGATCCCCCTTCTATACATGTCTGCAGAGTAAAAATCTAGAAAGACAATCACCAGATTTTGTCTGGGTGGAGATTCTCTTTTCCTTATCGGTATTTTCTGCAAGTATCACGTACTACTTTTGTAATTAGAGAAAGTAATAAAGATTCCTGTTTTTAACAAGAATCTTGCAGCAGAGGTGAGTGATAGTAAGAGCCTGAATTACAGCGTTGGTCCGGAGGCAAGAAATAGGAGGATGGGGGTGGGGACGGTCATCATTTTTGAGGCCCAAAGAGCTGGGGCCAGCCTGGGCATGGAGGCAGTGAGGCAGCGACAGGGAGCAGAAAGGGGCAAGGATGCTTTGCAGTTTCAGGTACCAATCAGTGGTTCTCTTATGGAAACGCCGCCTTCAGCAACAGTTTCAGCAAAGAATCATTCCAACTCCAGTCAAAGCAGGAGCTGTCGTACCAAAATGTAGTTTGGTGGCTGTAATTTTCCAGCTGCTAATCAAATGAAGTTCAAGTACATGTAATTTTCTCTAAGAATTTCTAGATTGCTAATGATGTCTAAGGGCTTGAATGAATTTCTTTTGAACCCTAGCAGTCCACATAATACAAAGCAAAATGAATGTCCCACAGGAGGTGGTGGCCACAGCCTGGGCCTGCAGACCCATCTGCGTGTGCGGCTAGAGGGACCCGGGTGGGCTCTGAGGCCCTGGGTTGTTCACTCATAAACGGGATAATATATGTAAAGCATCCATCAGGCATATGACAGACACTCAGTACGTGGTAGCCGTCACCAGCTGTATTTTTCCAGGACTACATTGATAACAACAGAAAGGTTTTTACCTGCTTCTTTTCTTCTGGTTGGTCTGCCTTAGGATACATGTCCAGCAACAGGTTTAGATCCAGCTCGATGCTCGAGCCCAGCACAGAATGGCTCTCACTGCCATCGAGCTTCCTGATGATTTCTAGCAAGTGATGCAAACATAGGTGGTGATTATGAAATGCAATGGTAAAATTTTTCAATGTTGTATCAAAATGGTTTTCCAGGCTGGGTGCGGTGGCTCACGCCTGTAATCCTAGCACTCTGGGAGGCCGAGGCAGGTGGATCCTTTGAGCTCAGAAGTTCGAGACCAGCCTGAGCAAGAGCGAGACCCCGTCTCTACTAAAAATAGAAAAAATTAGCTGGACAACTAAAAATATATATAGAAAAAAATTAGCCGGGCATGGTGGCGCATGCCTGTAGTCCCAGCTACTCGGGAGGCTGAGGCAGAAGGATCGCTTGAGCCCAGGAGTTTGAGGTTGCTGTGAGCTAGGCTGACGCCACGGCACTCTAGCCCAGGCAACAGAGTGAGACTCTGTCTCAAAAAAAAAAAAAAAAAATGGGTTTCCATCGAAGTGTGATATAAGAATATTCAAAAAACCTACTAAGAAAGCAACTGTTCACAGGAAACTTCTATTTTCTGAAGTATTAGTATTCTGTTTTTGGAAGTATTTTCATGCGTGGACTCCACAGATAAAAAACTAACTTGTTTTCAACTGACAGGTGAGGCTCCCTACCGGCATTCATGGAAGATCCGTGTGGCCTTCCCCTTTGGGAAACCTCCGAACACAGGTCCAGGTAACTTATGAATTCAACTTCGAGATCTGGAAACTCTGCTATGTGGTCATTGGAAAACAGACCTTCATACACACGCCCGTTCTTAAAAGTTAATCGGCCCTGCAGATAGAAAAATTACTTTTTGCAAGTTTAGAAAGTTTTCTTATTATAGAAAGATATTGGTAAATGTACATCAATAGCTTTTTCAAGGGTTTGGAGCTTTTTGTTTGTTTTGAAGATACACACTTAGTCCACATCAGGCACCTAGAGTCTCACATTGCTGCGTAAATTCTCTCTTCTCCAGCTCCTCCTCCTCCTCTTCCTCTTCTCCTCTCTATCTGCCCCACAACCTCTTCTCAACTTTAAGCACCTCTAGATCACAGAATGTGTCCTATTAAACTTTGATAGTGACCAGTGGAGTGCCCATCACACAATAGGAACTCTCCTGGTACTAATATTTGTCAAAGCCAGGCCAATAGTCAGTTACTTACTGATTTAGAGGTGGACAAATGACCCAGTTCAGCTCTGAAACAAAAGACATTTGTAAAGAGCTTCTGGGACAAAGTGTTTTTTCTCTTCTTCTAGTTAGTGTGGTATGTGGATGTGAAACCTGGAACCACAGCAGCCGTTTTGCAGTCATGAGGGAGGAGCAGTACAAGAGTGAAACTGACATGGTGGGAGATATTGTGCAGATGGAAGAGAAATCGTGACATCACTGAATCAAACTAACCCTGAAGCCCACATTATTCTTTATTATAAATGGCAGAATAGGCTAGATCGTCTATTACATGCAACCAAAACCACCCTCACACATACTCATAACAAAAACAAATTAAATAACCACTAAATGTATAGGAAATCAGTGACAATGTTGAAAATACTTTAAAATTCATGTAATCACCTAAACAAAACAGTAAGTTATCCTATGCACAGTGGACAATGCAATTTACTAGATAGAAAATGATATATTGTATTTCAGTTGCTTTACATGATCTTTAAAATATAATCTTCACAGGTTTGTACTCACCATGCCATGTTTTTTATTGGAAACCCACTCTCCCTCATACATGGCTCCACTGGCATAATAAAACCTGCCATGTCCATGACGACAGCCATTTACAAACTCTCCTACGTATTCATTTCTCAAAGGATACTGGGAGTTGGGGATTCTCTTTAGAAACCATGTGTGTGTTCCAAAACCATTCTGAAAAGAAGCAAACTGCCGTCAGAAATGCTCAAAATAGTTGCTCTTTTTATCTGAATCCACCCAAAATTAGTACAAATATGATGACAATTTGAAGAGGCGAAGAACATAGATTTTGGAGTCACACAGACTTGGGTTCAATCTCAGCTCAGATACTTACTAACCAGTCTTTTAATCTAAAGCAAATTACTTAAGCCCTCTAAATTCTTCAATTATAAAACAGAAATAACACCTATCCTGAAGCTTGGCTGTAAAGACCGAAGATAGTATATACAACTTCCTTGACTTGATAATGATTATTTTAATTATTATTTTAAGTTTTAATTTTTTAATATACAGATTGATAAAAAGTACCCCCTCCTCAATCCCACTTTCCAGAGGTAACCACGAATTAGGTTTGAGAATTCATCTGTATTTTCCCTAAGCACATACAGCATACATATTAAATCAACATGTTGGTTAGGAAAGGTGGCTTATGCTTGTAATCCCAGCACTTTGGGAGGCTAAGGCAAGAGGATCGCTTGAGGCTGGGAGTTTGAGACCAGCCTGAGCAACATAGTGAGACCTTATCTTTACAAAAAATTTTAAAAATTAGCTGGGCATGATGGTACGTGCCTATAGTCTCAGCTACTCAGGAGGCTGAGGTGGGAGGATCACTTGAGCCCAGGAGTTCAAGGTTACAGTGAGGTATGATCAGGCCACTGCACTCCAGCCTGGGTAACAGAGCGAGACCCTGTTCTGATAAATAAATAAACATTATAGGTATATAAAAATACACATACAATTTTTTCAACAATAATATCTGTAACTTGGAATGTTATTCCCAAAAGAATTGAAAGCAGGGGCTCAAACAGATATTTGTACTCCATGTTCATAGCGGCATCATTCGCAATAGCCAAAAGGTAGCAGCAACCAGAGTGTCCGTGAACACATGAATGGATGAACAAAACGTGGTCTGTCCGCACAATAGAATATAATTCAGCCTTAAAATGGAAAGAAGTCCCGACACCTGCTACAACACAGATGGATCTGGAGGACATTATGCTGAGTGAAATAAGCCAGTAACAAAAGGATAAATACTGTGTGATTCCACTTATATGAGGGATCTAGCTTGTGTGTGAGACCACTAGAGAAAACTAAGTAATAAAACCATGATATAAAAGTACAGCTGAGACCAGTACATAGCAATTTGAGTTTCTAAATTTAGCAGAGCATAAATTTCAGATTACTGTACGATATCATTCCAAGTAACACACGTGCTGAGGACAGCAGAGCATCCCCATCTGGGTATGAGCAGCTGAAATTGGCCAGCGCGTACCTGGACCCCTCTCTCCCACCGGCCGGTGTACTCCTCATTGGTTGTCAGCCACCTCATCCTTCCTTCCCCGTGGCGCATATTGTCTTCCCACTGGCCTTCATATATATTTCCAGATTTGTAACTAGGACAAAAGAAAGCAATGGAAAACAATTACGTCACACATATTTACCTTCAGGACTTTCTTTTAAACTCTGCTCCTCACCCCCACCTTTGAAGAAATCCAACCCTTGTACCCATACACTCTTCCCTGGATTTAAATTCAATGGGCAGGCATGTGGTAGGTAAAAATAATCATTGTAGGGAGCAGAATAAATCACTTGATTAAACCTTCTGATTATTTAATAAAGTGACAAAGTGGATAAGACTGGGGTTTTAAGATCTTTTAAAAATAATTCCCTATCAGATGATGATGAGTTAATATTTTTGTTTGTTTGTTTGTTTTGTTTTTTTTGAGACAGAGTCTCACTCTTTTGCCTGGGCTAGAGTGCCGTGGTGTCAGCCTAGCTCACAGCAACCTCAAACTCCTGGGCTCAAGCAATCCTCCTGTCTCAGCCTCCCGAGTAGCTGGGACTACAGACATGCGCCACCATGCCTGGCTAATTTTTTCTATATAGTTTTTAGTTGTCCGATTAATTTCTTTCCATTTTTAGTAGAGACGGGGTCTCGCTCTTGCTCAGGCTGGTCTCGAACTCCTGAGCTCAAACAATCCGCCCGCCTTGGCCTCCCAGAGTGCTAGGATTACAGGCGTGAGCCACCGCGCCCGGCCTATGAGTTAATATTTTGCCCCAAAATGTTTTAGTCCTTAAAATATTTGACTCTATCAGTTCAATCTAAAATCAAGCAAATGTGTCAACATTCTTCAGAAAACATACAATACTGGAGGATCCATGATTAATATAGAAAACAAAGAAAGGCAACTTCTACACATGATAAAGTCAGGCCAGGTGCAGTGGCTCATGCCTGTAATCCTAACATTTTGCAAGGCCAAGGCAGGAGGATCGCTTGAGGCCAGGAGTTTGAGGTTCCAGAGAACTATGATGACGCCACTGCACTCTAGCCTGGGCGACAGAGTAAGACTCTGTCTCTAAATAAATAAATGATAAATAAATAAATAAATAAATAAAATTGAAAGAGTATGATTAGATATCATTTAACGGGGTGTTTTTCTAAATCTTCCATAGAATATAATCACTGTGGAGATTATATTGGGATTAATTTAAATATTCCACTCTGCTTCAAGAAAAAATGTGTTCTCTGCATTTTCTGCACCGTATCTTTAAACAGCCGAAGTGAACATTATTTGGGCCTGCAAACACTTTCTCACCCGACCCATAGGCGGCAGTGCTCATACCTACCATCTTATTCCCCAGCCCCTTCTGATGTTGTGAACCCAGTCTCCCTCGTACCAAGAGATGCCCTCTTGATTATAATAAATGGAGCCCTAAAACAAAGAATATCATTTTTAAAAATCAAGCCTCATGACACAAATGCTTTGTTAACTGTAAAGATAAAAATATATGAATTTAATAAGTATTAACTGTGCAGAAGTCAATGTCACACTTAGGCAACACATATAATCCATTATGTTTCTGTTCTGCAATCAAGAAAATGGTAAAACATCCACACCAAGGGAGAATAATGTCACAGGTCAATTTCTCCTTGATAACCAAGTGCCGTGGCCGGGCACAGTGGCTCACACCTGTATTCCCAGCGCTTTGGGAGGCCAAGATGGGAGGATCGCTTGAAGCCAGGGGTTCCAGACCAGTTTGGGCAACAACACAGTGAGAGCGTGTCTCCACAAAACAGTTTAAAAATTAAAAACATTTTAATACAAGGAATGACTATATTTATTATAGTCAGACATATTCAGTAACTGTTAGTCAAATAAGTACCTAAAGAACACCTGTTTTTTTCTTTGTGTTTTTGTAATACCAACCATAAGAAAAACTCAAAGAAATCCTGTCTTGTTGCCACCTAGAGTGAACAGCTGCACCTTCCATGAACTGAAGGTCACTTTCTCTTATGTACCAAAACCTTTTCTTCTTAAGAGACAGGGTCTCACTATGTTGCGCAGGCTGCAGTGCAGTGGCTATTCAAAGGCACGGTCATAGCTCACAGCAGCCTCAAACTCCTGGGCTCAAGCGATCCTTCTGTCCCAGCCTCTGGAGCAGTTGGGACTACAGGTGCTCACCATCTTCTTCCTCGTTATCAGGCTGACTTGTTCCTTCTTGCAGCCATCCAGGTGCTGCCATCTAGAAGTCACCATTCCCAGCCCCTCCAGCGTGTCTCAAGTGATCTGCTGTGAGCCAGTGACACAGTCTGCTAAAGCCCGAGTAAAGCAGGAGGGTTACGGTGATGGTGCTGAGGCCTGAGCAGTCTCCCCTGGCGGTGGCGCGAGGGGAGGCCAGGGTGCTAAGGCAGCTTGGCCACGTGGCCCAGTTCACTCTCTCCTAACTCTCCTGGCCAGTATCTGTCAAGGAGGAAGGTTGGACTGGATTTCTAATTCCCTTTCAAACTCTGAAATGCAGATATTCTTCTTTGCACAGACTTTGGGAATGCACGTAGGTTTGTCAGAGCCTGTGGCTGACTTCCAGCGACTCTGGCAAGGAAGGACTTCTCCTTCCAGCTTCCTCCCGACCAGTAGTTCCATTTGTAAGAAAATCAGCACACAGGTCTCTCCAGGAGAAGCAGACAGGAGCTGGGACTGAACTGTCTGCGCTGTTCAGATGAAAAGACTTCCAGAGCCAGAATCTCAGAGATTTCTCTGGGTTGGCTGCAGATCTGTCTCTCCTTGTCCATCACTTCTTCCAAGAGCACTATTTGAGTTAGGGGCAATGATTTCTGTGGAGCTTCTAAACACTGCATCAGACACCACCCATTTATCAATACTTATGTGGGTCTGAAAATAAACTAGGGCATTTATCTTAGTAGGCAATCACAAATTATTTAAAAATAGAAAAGAGGAGTCCCCAGTCATTTAAGAATCCATATGCAATACTGCGCAATCCTGGACCTCAGGGAGGTAACAGTAGCTTGGTAATGACACCAAGTGACACGTTCCAGCCTGTGAATGCTCAACCAGTGACGATCATAATGGAGACTTTTCTCATGACATTTTCTAAAAACCACACATTTTAGAAATTCTAAAAATTGCTAAAATATTTTATCATCCTACACAAAAGCAAAACAAAATTACCAAAAATAGCCACCTTGGTTAAAAGTGAATATATATCCTGCATTGCTGGCGGGGATGTAAAATGGTGCAGCTGCCATGGAAACAGTTTGGTGATTTCTCAAAAAGTTAAAACATAAAGTTGCCACATGACCCACCAATTCCCCTTGGGGATGGTATACACCCCAAGGAACTGAAAACAAGTGCTCAAATAAATCCTTGCACACATATTCACACCAGCACTATTCATAATCGTCAATAGATGGAAACAGCCCAAATGTTCATCGATAGATGAATGGATAACCTATGGTAAATACTGACAGTGGAGCATTATTCAGCCATATAAAGAAAGGACGTGCTGATAACTTCATTTGATTTCATGCATGAACCTCTAAAATACTCCGCTAAGTGAAAGCATACAGACACAAAAGGTCATACATTATATGATTCCATTTATATAAAACGTCCAGAATAGGTAAACCGATAGAGACAGAAAGCAGACCCGTGGTTGCAGGGGATGTGGGTAACTGCCTAATGCGTATGGGGTTGTATTTTGAAGTGAGGAACATTCTGGGGGATAGTGGTGACGGCCACACGACACTGAATGTACTAAAGACCACTGAATTGTACGCTTTAAAATGGTTAATTTTGTGTGATGTGAATTTTGCCTCAATAAACAGCCAATACACCCTCAACAGCACCCCGCTCCCTGCCCTCCGTGTCTGCTCCCCCATTCACGGGTGGGACCCTGCCTCGTGGCCGCCTCACCTACCTTCCCATGTCTCTTGCCGTGGCACCAGTGGCCGATGTAGGACACAGGCTGGGTGCTGCACTTGAACATGCCGAAGCCGTTCCTCATGCCGTTCATCACTTCGCCTTCGTACATGCTGCCATCCGGCCACGTGTACACGCCGTGGTTCATGGGGATGTTCTTCACAAATTCCCCCTGGGGAAAAATGGCCAGAGGGTGACAGAAAGGGGGCAGTGGAGGGATCCCTCATCCTGGGGCTGCTCGAGACACCTCATGACCCCTGACACTATTCCTGTCTCTCCTCCGTGCAAACAGCGGAACACCCCTCACTCCCCCGCTCCATCCTCCTCTGCATCTCCCCTCCTCTCTTGCCCGAGCCGACCACTGGGCAGGAGCCCAGGCAGAATAACCAAGAAGCAAGCAGGGGACACAGTAAAGTGGCGGCTTCCAGTCCTGACCTTGGGAACTTCAGCCTCCCAGGAGGCTAATTCACGGTACCCTCCAGGAGATCCTGACAATTAGCCAGGCTTAGTGGTCACCGTAGGAAACCCTTCTTTCTGCCTGTGGGGCATCAAAATATTCTGCAGACATGTCAGGCAACAGCCTGCCCTGTGGGCACCTTCTAGAGAACCACCCTCTGCTGGCTCAGGACGTCTGCCGACAGGGCAGCGCACCGTATGGTACACCATGGCCCAGAGCCATCGGATTCTCCAGGAATCTGAACTCTGGGAGGCAGCAGTCAGCAGAGAGAAGGGGAGACAGTGCAGCCTGGTTTGGCTGCTGCCCAGGTCATGTGATGCTTCTGGGAGAGTCCCCAGAGTCCTGCCCACAAACCATCCTGACAAGGCTGGTGCAGGGGTCTGTGCATGCAAAAATGACCCCTCCAAGAGTTTCCAGACACAATGGAGCAGAGAGGACTCCTGGCAAATCGCCATTTAGGGACTAGAAACCTTGAATTTTGGCCATGGGCTAGAAGGCAGGATGTCGAGCAGGAAGGGAGTTCCTTCAGAAAGGCTGGCCCACAACCACTGCTGGGGCCCGATCCTCAGGCTCCCTGGACCTTGGGGGTTCTATTCCCCCACCCCCACGGTGAGGGCCGGCCCCTCCCTCGCTCTCCCCGCCCCTCTGCCGCACACCTCCCACTGTCCAGCTCCAGTCAGCTGCCTTCCTGGCCCAAACTTGCCTCTGTGTCCGTCACTATCTGGCTGTTATCTGAGTAAGTGCATTATGTGCGTGTGTTTTAAATGTCTTCATTACCATTTATAAACACCATCTGTTAGTAACTCTGCAATCGAGATTTTTAGAATAGCATTTCAGGCCCTCACACACTTTGTGGGTGGGAGTTGAAACTGGTACAATCTCTTGGGAGCAATTCGGTCCTAGCAATCAATTTAAAAATACACATACCCCTCAACCCAGCAAGATGTGTTAAGTGCGATCCACATTATGGAATACACACAGCCAGGAAAAATAGTTAGATCTGGATGAATGGATATGGTTCAATCTCTAAAAAATAAAGGTACCAAAGAGAGCGTATCATTAACTATTCGTGTTTGTAAAAAAGTAGGAGGGGCTAAGTACATGTACGTGTGCTGTGTACACTTAGGACACATAGAACACCTCCAGAACGTACAAATGAAACCAGTAACAACAATTACCAGAAAGTCTCGTGCAATCACGAGTTAGATTCTTTGGTTCTGTGAATTTTTTTTTAAACCCATGTGCTGAGTTACTTTTATGATAATAATATGTTTAACTTTGGGAACCTGACCTTAAATTTCATAGTTACAACTTACCACTAAAACTTATATGCTTTACCTCGTATTTTAATCCATTGGCCCAAATATAAGTCCCTTGTCCATGCATGAGTCCTTCTGAAAACATACCCTTCAAAACAAAAGAAAACATAAACTCTTACAATGCAGCTGCTGATTTTTTTTTTTTTTTTTTGAGACAGGGTCTCACTCTGCTGCCCCAGCTAGAGTGCAGTGGCGTCATCATAGCTCATTGTAGCCTCACACTCCTGGGCTCAACAATCCTCTTGCCTCAGCCTTCCAAGTTGCTGTGACTACAGGTGCACACCACCATACCCAGCTAGTTTTTCTATTTTTTGTAGAGACGGGGTCTCATTATGTTGCCCAGGTTGGTCTTAAACTCCTGGCCTCAAGCAATCCTCCCACGTTGGCCTCCCAAAGCACTGGGACTGCAGACGTGAGCCACTGCGCCCGACACAGCTATTGATTTTACACTACAACTGCCGTCCATGGCTTCAGTTCTTCGGATGGAGCCTTATCCCGGTTCCACATGCAGGAATACACCTGCTTGAGGGCACAGAGGCAGCAGGAGAGCCCTACTTTGAGCTGGCACCACACTGGGATCCGTCCTCCCTAAAAAGGATCTAAAGAGGGGTCCCAAAATATCCAGGTCCCTAAAATTTACTCCGGGCAGTCCTGTGCAGTTGTTAAAAATTAGCTGTAAATTCAATCTGAGTCTTCCTTTCCTAATTAGGCTATTGGAGAACTCTACAGTTCAAAACAATTCAAATACTTGTGATTTTATACTTCAAAGTTTAAGGATTTAAAAAAAAAATTCAAATTAGATAGACCTGATTAAAATATCAGAAATTATTACATTTGTAAATATCACGCTTTCTGTTTTCCCTCACTGGGAATTATCAGAGCATGCACGCACACGTGTGTGTGTGTGTGTGTGTGTGTGTGTGTGTGTGTGCGCTTGTGTACTGACATTCACATATATGTATGTAACAGAGGGAAAGGCCCAAAGGAAAAAAAAAAAGATTTTCTATCTCTTTAAAACTTCCCCCACTCTTTTTGGGAACTGCAGCGTGGCCTGCATCCCTGAGGCAGGTTAAGACCTTCGTTAAAAGATAACTCAGCCGTCCCAGGTGGAGCCAGCACCCCAGGTGGGAGGCTGGCAGAGTTCACAGAGATGTGACAATTAGAATGGTTAACCACTATAGCCTAGTTCAATAGCCCAGAACTGAGCGGCCCTCCCTTTAAAAGCTCTGTATTTCTGCCTACCTTTTGGGAAATTTGGATTTTGAGCAGAGGAGGTCTACCATTCTTCCCCCTTTGCCAGCAAAGTAATAAAAATTCTCTTTCCTCCTCCCCAAAACACTTGTTCTCATTCTGATGCGGCCTCGAGGACAAGTGCTGAGTTTCGGTAACATGTGTATGATATACAGTTGTCAGTGTAGTTAATATACATTGAAAGTATCTAATGTTAACGTATAGGAACTAGTCATAAAAAACTTAATATACCTGGATGTCTAAATGCAATCAGAGTAAACAATGATGAAATTACATCCAGTTCTTCCTTAGAATCATCTACTTAGAGGTAGAGTGGGTGATGGAGAGGAATCTGCGTTTCTAAAAAATTCCCAGCAGATGCTGCTGGTCCCGGGAACCACACTTTGAGAACCACTGCCCTAACTTCACTAGCAAGAAGATGTTACACAGTCAATTCAGATTAGCATGGACTCATGACAGACAGGGCTGGCACTCAGGAAAACTGTGTCATTTTAACATTAGAATAGAAAATGCCAGCACACACCCACACAGTAAGGGTAAGTGTTGTTTTTACCATCTGTCTTTAGATGCACGTGAGTGTATACTGGGGACTGTGATCTAAAAATGTGCCCAACCCTGGTTGGACCCGCCTGGGGCTCAGGGCTCCCGACTCATCCTGCTGGGCCTGCCTCCTCATCTGAGCTACGGCCTCGTGGTGATGTTCCCTCTGAGGCCCCCAGGTACACTCAGTGTTCTAGAAACTGAAAATCTGCATTAACACAGAAAACACCAGTCACCTAATGTCTAACAACGCAAGGGGAGCAAATAACTGCTCCTGCTCTCAGAGGTGTTTCGGGTATGGCCTAAGCCAAAACAAACACAAAAACTTAAGCAGAAACTTAAATTGTTTTTTAAAAAATCCAGAAAACAATTTAAAAGAGATCCAACCGATGATTGTTTTTCATCAAAATCATTTGAGTCTCAGGAAAATATGGAAAGTTTACACAGCAAGTAGCTGGCAGTGGGTAGGGGGGTGATCGTCACCCACTTTGGGGAAGGGCAGGGCCACCTGCCTTCAACAGGATGGGCTGGCCCAGCTTGAGCAGTTGGGTAACTGCACACCTGAGAGCACCGAGATGAGCTCCTCTGGGGCAGTCCTCAGCAGCCTGGGAAGGGTTTGTGCCGTGCGAGAGCAGTGAGCAAAATCAGTAACAAACCCAGGTGGCATTTTAATGGGTCACACGCCAGTGCTGTATACAAGCACTCAGCGCTGAGAGGAGACCCGGTCAGGCTCAATGGAACACCTTCATGCCCCAGGTCAGAGCAAAGGCCAGGTGGGGCGGTCATTTTAATGACCAGTATTCAGCCATAGTGAATGGTGCTTTGAAGAATTTTTATGACACTGGAAAATGAACATGTTGTATGTTAAAGGGAAAAATCAGTACTAAAACTCATACCTGATCACCCCAGCTAGAAAAATTCATTCTCCTATAATAAGCACACCTTTCTTTGATAAACTGAATGAATGAATGAATAAATATCTTCATGGTGCCATTGGTAATAAAAGCAAAAAATGAAACACCCCAAAAGTACACAACAACTATGGAACAGTTATGAATAGCAAATTAGAACACAATGCAATATCAAAAATAATTATGGAGAGCGGGATGGGGAGTTATTGTTTAATGGGGACAGAGCTTCAGTTTGGGATAATGAAAAAGTTCTGGAGATGGATGGTCATGATGGTTGCAGAACAATGTGAATATGCTTAATGCCACTGAACTGTACACTTAAAAATGATTAAAATGGAAGCCAGGCATGCTGGCTCACGCCTGAAATCCTAGCACTTTGGGAGGCCAAGGCAAGAGGATTGCTTGAGGCCAAGAATTCGAGACCAGCCTGGGCAACACAGTGAGATCCCGTCTCTACAAAAAATTTAAAAAATTAGCTGGGCAGGGTGGTGTGCACCTGTAGTCCTAGCTATTTGGGAGGCTGAGGCAGAAGGATCACTTGAGCCCAAGAGTTGAAGGTTGCAGTGAGCTATGATGACACCACTGCACTCCAGCCTGGGTGACAGAGAAAGACCCTGTCTAAAACAAAAGGTAAATGTTATGTACAATTTACCAAAATAAAAAAATTAAAAAAAAATCATTATTAAAACCATGCAGCAACAGAGAGAGATTCAAAATGTTATCTACAAAATGAATTTGCCCATCTAAAATAAAAGGAACACAGCCAATTGAACACTTTTATGGCAAAAGGATGGTGACGCTGGGATTTTACTCTTCATTATTTACTTTAGTGACCTGCTGTTTGTACAATAAGAGCCAGGGAAAGAAACCCAAAATGACCACTTCAGTTATACTGAGCCATATTTTTACCTTCAATATGTAATCATGGTTCAAAATACAATCAGCATGAAGTACTTTCAATTTCTTTCTGAGGCATCAATGGACTTTACTGAAGATTTGCAAATCGAAAACCATCACCCCACACTTTCCTCCCTGCCCTGCAGGTTCCCAAGTACATAACTCACGTGGTAGGTGCTACCTCCTTGAAAGACGGCGAAGCCTACTCCCTCGTACAGCCCATGAACTTTTTCCCCTTCATAGCTGCAAAGAAATAAATGCAGTCCAAGGTAATCAATGATGTGAGTAAACCTAAGTGACAGTGGGTTAAAATACATAATTAGACAGTAGGATAGAGCTTCCCAGGGGGTTCAAAGGGGAGTGGGGGGCTACCATTTAATAGGCACAGAGTTTCTGTTTGGGATGATGAACAAGTTCTGGAAATAGGTAGTGGTGATGGTTGTACAACACTGGGAACATATTTAATGCCACTGAGTTGTACACTTAAAATGGTTAAAATGATAAATTTTGTTACATTAATATATTTTACCATGATAAAAATATATAAAATTAACATCAAGGAAGAGGTGCATGTAATATCTCACGCTCATTCACTCAATAAACATTCCCCCCAAGTGCCTATCTGAGTGCCTGTCTCATGGACAGAGCTGCGGACAAGACGAGAAAGTTCTTACCCTCAGGAGCTTACAGTCCACTCAGGAGAGACAGACAATAAACAGGAAACAAACAAACAAGATAATTCCAGATCACGCTCAATTTTTGTGAAAGCAATGATGACCTTTCTGAAGACACAAGATTTGTACTGAGGCCTGAAGGACGTGAGACAAACAAACACAAGAAGAACCCCAGGAAAAGTGAAGACAGCAGAGCAAAGGCCCTGAGGCAGGCAAGGGCTTGCCACCTGCAGTGCAACAAATAGAAAGGAGAACACACGAAGCCAGGGAGGGAGCGGTTGAGGAGGAAGGTGAGAGGGAGGCAGAGGCCCTGCAGGCTGGCTCCGTGGGCTGGGATAAAGCCCTGCTATAAAATCCAGAGCTCTGGGGGGAACCAAGACAGGGACAAGATCAGATTTCTATCTTAAGAAGACCACAGTGGCTGGGGTGTGAACAGATGGTCGGGAGAGCTAAGAGTGGCAGACAACTGCCAGCAGAGGGCAGTGACGGGGAGAGAGAGGGAGAGTTACAGTATATTCTGGATGGTTTCTGTGTGGGATGATGAGAAAGGTCTGGAAATGGATAAGGTGACAGTTGCAAAACAATGTGAATGTACTTAATGCCACCGAATTTCACACTTTAAATGGTTAGAAATTTTATGTTATGTATATTTTACCATGATAAGAAGTTTTAATTTTTTTTTTTAAAAAGATATATTCTGGACATAGATCCACAGGGCTCTCTAATGTGTCAGCTTTGGGGAAGGAGCTACCAAGAACAGCGCCTGGATTTCCAGTCCAGGACTGAATGGGTAATGTGCAATCTGCCACATGGCTCTTCTCTGGGCTCTAAGGAAGTGAAGTGACAAGCAAATGAACCTGCGGCAACTGTGACCAAACTGGGCTTATTCCAAGAACCTAAAGATGATTAAATGTTAGAAAAATCTATAAACATAATTCATTACATCAGCAAGTTAAAGAAGAAAAACCATACAGATCTATCACAATGCCAGAAAGGTATTTGATAAAGTTCGGCAATCGTTTCTAAAAAAAATCTTAAGTTCTAATATGAGGAAACTACATAAACACGATAGACTATATATGAAAAAACAGTAGCAACTCTGATTTTTAAGGGTGAAATATTGAAATCAATTCCATTAAAATCAGGAACGTGAGCGGGAGGTCTGCTCTTACCACCAATTACTCGATATTGTTCTAGAGGCCCCTAGTTAATGCAGAAGTCAAGAAATGTAAACGATTGGCATAAATATTGAAAAGAGAGCTGAAATTATTTCAATTTGAAGATTATGTGATTATTTGCCTATAAAACCCAAAAGACTTTATAATTAATGAGAGTTGGAGAGGAACAGGGAGACTAAATTAGAATGGGGCGGAGGGGTCCTTAGCTCTTCTTTAAGACATCTTTGCATTATTTCATTTGTCACAATGAGTATATATTACTCCAATAATTAAAAACAATAAAGAAACATAAAAAATTTTTAAAAGAATTCACAATAGCTCCATATAATGGTATCAATGATACCTCCCCCCCTCCCTAAAAACACACGTTTCCAGATGCTCTCGGCCACGATGTCTGGCTGATTTTTCTATTTTTGGTAGAGACGGGGTCTCACTCTTGCGCAGGCTGGTCTTTAACTCTTGAGCTCAAGCGATCCTCCCACCTTGGCCTCTCAGAGTGCTAAGATTACAGGCGTGAGCCACTGTGCCTGGCCAGGGCTAAGTTTTATTCTTTAGACGCTATGAAGAAAACTAAAAGTTATTAAAGAGGGAGTGTGGTGGCCAGCCTCTGAATGGTTCCCAGTGGTTCTCACCTGGTGTTCACACTCCGTGTAGTCCCTTCCCATGAAATAGGGCTGACCTCTGTGACCACTAGGATATTGTGGAAAGGGCAAGGGGGACTTCTGAGACTAGGTCCCAGAACATGTGCTAAAAGACATTGTGGCTTCCGCCCTTGCTTGCTCTCAGATCGCTCATTCTGGGCAAAGGCAGCTACCACGGCGTGGACTCAGGCAGCCCCAGAGAGGTCCATGTAATGAGGACATGAGGCGAGGCCTCTGGACAACAGCCTTGGAGGCAGCCAGTCAAGCCTTCAGATGACAGCAGCCAGGGCCAACACCTTGACTGCAACCTCTTGAGACAGCCTGATCCACACGAGAAGTTGCGGGGTTCCTGACCCCTAGACACCGTGTAAGATACTATCTAATGTTGCAGCCGCTGGGCTTTGGGGTAACGTGCTACACAGCAATACACAACTAATACAGGCAGCCATGTAAACAGAGCCATGCGCTAGGAAGGTAAATCTACACAGGAGGCCTCAGGAGACAGACCGGAAGCAGGGAAATCGTTAGGAAACAAGTCCAAGAGGTAATGAAGAGAAAAGGACTAATGGGAGAACCACAGAGGGAAAAGAAATATGAAAGGCAAGGGAAGGAGCAGGATAGTTCTAAGGTTTCAAGCCTGGATGTGTAAGAAGATGGTGGTGCTGTTACAGGAATAGGGAACAAAGGAGAAGCTAATAGCTAGGAGAGAAACAGTAACATTCAGGATAACCGTCTAAGGTATGTATTCTCATTTATTTCCCCCCAATTAAGAACCTGAAGCTCATAAAGTTTCCGGGATGGCGTAAATGTCACAGAGCTAAGACAAATCCAGACCTTATTTCAAGGCCAGCAGTCTCCAGTTTTGGATACAAAGAGTTTGAGTCCAGTAGAGCTGCGGTCCCCAACCTCCTGGCCTTGGCCCATTACTGGTCCATGGCCTGTTAGGAAATGGGCTGAACATCACCGCCTGAGCTCTGCACCACATCCCCCCTCCTGTGACACCTCACCCCCCAGTACCGATTCCATGGAAAAATTGTCTTCCATGGAACCAGTCCCTGGGGCCAAAAAGGTTGGGCACCGCTGCTAAAATTTTGAATCTGAAATTCTAGGAAAATAGTGCTAAAGAAAATAGATTTTTACAGTCATTCAGGGAGATGATATGTAAAGCTATAATACAGTAAGAGAAGAGATTGCTGAGAGAGCGAGAACAGAGAATAAAGAAGTGGTAGAAAAGGGAGCGTGGAAGATGCAGCACCCAGAGACCTCAGCAGGGAAGCCCTGGGACTGCAGGCCTTGTGCCAGCGTAAGACACAGCTTAAAAGGGGGGTTGTTTTCTGAGGTGGGGAAATTGTGTGATGGTGATAAAAATGCATGAGGATTCATATGCTTGAAGCAAAGCAAATTTTCCAAAAATGCCTGATTCACAGTGTTAAATCCTATTCTGTTGCTCCACGAATTAATATAGATGTGTTTGCAGACAGGATTTGTCTTAGGAGTTTTGCAGAGTTTTGCCCTGAAGGAATATGTGAACGTGTTTGTTTGCATTTCAAATGCTGTTACACTCGGAAGGGCGTCTCTGAAAGACAGTAGCGGCTGTATCCCACAAGGTGCCACGTTTCTCAGACCTAAAGGTTTGGATTTGCCTTGTAAAGCAAAGCGAATCTGTTAAAAACTACAGGATGAGAGCTGACAATGGAGTGCCCCCGGGAACAGACAGCTGCCTGAATGGCTATAAGCAAGCTCTTGTTTAAACACTCTAGACTACCCGTCTTCATTCACAATAATCTAATAAATATGGAACCAACATATCTCTGTTTGACCCTTCTGTTAAGTGATAAACTTACCTTAGAACTTAGAAGTTAATCTTTGAAAGATTTTGTAACCATTTGTTCATGTAGATAGAATTAGCTAAAGGATCTGTAGAAGCCTTTTGAAAATCTGTTAACCTCAGAGGAACTACCTGTTGTTATGTAAATCTGTTACCCCTGGCAATTAATCACTATTCCCTATAAGTTATCATGTAAGACCTCATTTGGGGCTTTTTGAGACCCATGGAGAAGGTCTAGGCCCCCTGAGATCCCACTTTGCCTATAATCTTTATAAACTTATACCACTATATCTTTGTCTCTGTGTATTCTTTTATTTCTTTTATTTTCCATTTTTCTCTATTATTTTCTTATCCCTTGCAACTCTACCAAAGGGACCCGGTTTTTTGCGGGGAACATTGGCCATATTCCCGGTACTATTGCACCCCCTTAAAATCACCTTTCCACTATGAGTTTGGTCAGAATGGGCTCTTCATATTGTTGAGTGGCATCTTCCTCCTGCTGAATGTTTTCAGGTTCTTTTTGGAGTTCCGTTTCGTGGAGCTGCATTTCCAATAGTGGGACACCACCTGGGGACATTTCCTGCCTGGTGGTGTTGCCATCTTGTTTGGAAAACTCTGGATAGTCAGACAAAGACGAGGGAGAGCGGACAGACTTATCTCCTTTTTTGTCTGCTTTTTTCTTTTCTTTCACCATTGTCTTTGGAAGACCCAAAGTTTACTTTATAAACACCAAATGACTCCTTTGGTTGAGAGCTGTTCGTTTCAAAGCATTGATGAATTTTATCTGAAAAATAAACACGATGTCTCTAAATACCTGGGGGTTTCACTTACAGTTAGAATTTTAGCTTTACAACACAATGTCATAATCAGTTTCCTCCTTAAACCTGAAAAATTAATTACAAGTATCATCAGTTTATGAAAATAATACAATCTCAATATTGCATTGGTTGTTCCTAAAATTTTTAAAATTGGAACCACTGTCTAATATTATTTCTTTTCAAATAGCGTTGCCATAAGAAGGGTAACACCATACACAAAAAGGGGCTACTTAACCTCTAAGGTCTCCCATGCTGCCAAGTCACACTTTAAAAGCCCCTCCCTTGATACGTCAGCACTGTAAAGTGCTCAAGAGCTGGATTCAGGCCAGGCGCAGTGGCTCACGCCTGTAATCCAAGCACTCTGGGAGGCCGAGGCAGATCGTTTGAGCTCAGGAGTTCAAGACCAGCCTGAGCAAGAGTGAGACCCCATCTCAACTAAAAATAGAAAGAAATTAGCTGGACAACTGAAAAAATATGTAAAAAATTAGCCGGGCATGGTGGCACATGCCTGTAGTCCCAGCTACTCGGGAGGCTGAGGCAGGAGGATCGCTTGAGCCCAGGAGTTTGAGGTTGCCGTGAGCCAGGCTGATGCCACGGCACTCTAGCCCAGGCAAAAGAGTGAGACTCTGTCTCAAAAATTAAAAAAAAAAAGAAAAGCTGGATTCAGGCTCCTGCACTGACCATTACCAGTTCTGTGCTCTTAAGCAAGTTGCTTAATCTCCTCTGCCTGAGATATCAAACAGGAGTTGCAGTACCTTGTCTCCTCGTAAGAATTAAATGAGACGATGCATAGAGAAATCCCTGGTACGGCATACAGAGCAAAGTCAACAGGTGGAGTGATTATTTTGTCCCTTTCCTGTTTCCGAACTTGAAATCATTGGCCGCCTACTTCCTATAGCACCGCTATTGACTGAATGCCTCTGATGGGCCAGACGAGAAAGGATGTGTCAATAAATTGTCCCATGCCCCAGAGCTGAGGCACCACGGCCAGTTTTCACCGCCCTCCAAAACTGGCCCCACTGAAAGCGTTCCGGTCCTTCCGGCAGGACGCATAGAGTCCTGGGGTGCAAGGCAAGGTCTGCTCCCTCTTCTTGTGCCCCAGGGGTGCAGTGAGCGCCCCTCGCCCTCCTCTGCCTGGACGGCATCTTCCGGACACCCCACTCGCCAGCTCAACCCCACCTCCAGGCTTCCGTCTTCCTTCAAAAACCCCATTGCTCTTCCCAGGCCCCTAATCACCGTCTCCGCTAAGCAGTCCCGGGGTAATCTAGCCCCAGCTGCGCTCACCTCTCAATTCACACGGGCCTTTACTACAGGCTTTCTAGTCCTATGAGCGAAACAGGAACTGCAGATAAAGCAAATTTCCCTTCTCACTGCGTGTTTCCTAATTTTTGGGGGGTTCTCCCGGGCCGTTTACTGTACACAGCTCTGGGCGGGCGCCCAGCACGGTCCTGCCCGCCCAGCACGCACATACCCAAGTGCTGGGAGGTCGCGCAGTTCAGTCGGTTCAGCAAGGAGCGCGATGGTCGCCAGGACTGCCGCCTGCACGCAGGACAGCCGGCCGAGCGCTCACCGTGCTCCACCAGGCCGGGCGCAGGTATCGCAGGGCTGCCCGCGTCCTGACTGTCCAGGCAACCGCGCCCGCCCCGCCCCTCGCTCTTAAAGGGGCCGCCGCCGCGAGGCCACGAAGCGGGTCTCAGGCTGCAGCACCTGTGGCACTCGGCCTGGGCTTTCCCAGCTCTACTGACTGCTTCTCCATAAAATTGTAATTACTCAAGCATTAGTTTTCCATTGCTGCCGTAAACAAATTGTACCACAAAGTTAGTGGCTTGAAGCAACACACATTTATTATCCTACAGCCAAGTCTGACAGGGCTGGCTCCTCCTGGAGCCTCCAGGAGATAGTCCATTTCCTCTTCTCTGGCTTGCACAGGCAGCCTGCGTTCCTTGGCTGTGTGCCTCCCTCCACCTTCAAAACCAACAAGCGTCATCTCTCCGACCAGCTGGGAAAGGTCCTCCACTCATGAGACAGTCCAGATAATCTCCCCATCGCAAGACCCGTACCTCGGTCACAGCTGTAGGGACACTTTCACTGCGTAAGGTGATGCAGTCACAGGTCCCGGTGATTAAGCCACAGCTGTCTTTGGGGGCCATTATCCTGCCTCCAACTCCCAATTGCACAGTTCCTGCGATTCTCACATGAGCTCCCACAGACGCACACCAGCGTGGCGCTTGTCACAACACATGGCAATAGTCACTACTTTACCATCTGCTTCCATCCAAGGAAGCCCTTGCTCCCCAGAGGGCAGTGGGAAGGCCCATACTTGTCATCACTGTGCACCAACCTCCATTTGTACTCCACACGGACACCTTTACTTCCATTTTTTGGCACAGTTTAAATAGGACAAGATTCCATGAAACACTATTTGACAAGATGGACAGAGATTTGTTTATCTCCAGTACCGGTCAGGGTCGGTAACTAGAATGTTACCAGGAAATGTTACTGAGGATACCGGGTCACAGCATTACATTACAGAAAAAAACAAAATCTTTTCTTTCTTCCTGCCTAGAACAGCACTTTGCCACCCTGGCCGCACAGAGGAACATTTAAAAACAGTGACCCCAGCCCTATACAGTCATTTTCTTCAAGCCAGGCAGAGAATGCCCCTTGGGTTTTTTGGATTATTTGTTTCTGAAATTCAATGTGCATTAGGGTTGAGGACCACTAACCCAAAAGGACCATTATTTTACATTTACAAAATTAAACCAATATGAATTTAATTATCATTAAGGGCTAAAAGTTGCAGACTAAAATATATTCAGCCAGAGCAGAGGCCTGGGTAACTTCCAAAGCGCTCTTCCTATTTTTGTAAAACATGTTCTTGCCTACACACACACACACACACACACACACACGCAAATGCAGAAAAAGTGTTACAAGCAATGCTCCACATGGTTTGAAAAGGTTCTCAAGATCATTTTTAAATGGATCTGATACATTATTTTTTAAGCAGCAGGTTAATTTTGAAACCCCAAACATATATATTTATACACACACACATAATTCCATACAGTGAGAAATATCAGTTTTGAGAAATGACTTCCAGATTGGCAATGTGTCTCATGGTTGGCCTTCCATGGGGGCAGTTCCAGGGGTGGTCCATCTCACCCATGTGGGTGATGAGTTTCTTCATCTCGCTTGTGTTTAGAGCAGTTCCAATCATCACCTGCGTATGAGACACAACAATTTAAAGTTTTATTGGGTTTATTTGTTAGAAAAGCAACTCTTCAGAAGCACCCCTCTCTAAAATAAGGCTGGACAAGATTACAACTCAAAACCACATGCCCCAAGAACCCTACCTTCTATCTAGTTCTTCAGCCCCCCACCTTTTTGTGAAATCCAGGCCCCCCCCTTGGCTCCTTCATGGCGGCACCACCTCTACTCGAGACACTGACTACACCTGTCCACAACCAACCACTCTCAGCTGCTCTGCCACGACCTCCATCCCAGCTGCGCTGACTTATCACGGGGCAGCTGCAGCAGCCTCCTCACAGGCCTCCCTGCTCCCCCCACCCTCTACAAGCTGCTCTCCACTCCGTAGCCAGGGATTATTCTTAAAGATCTGTCAGGTCACATCACTCCTCTTCACAGTTCTCTCCTCTCACCTGATTTATAAAAGACCCCCCTGTCTGTCACCTGATTTGGCCCTCACTGGCCTGCCTGTACCTCCAAGCACTGCATCCCTCCCTCCCCGACTCAAGCCGCACTGCCACCCCCTTCCTCTTGCACAAGTCCATCAAGCAAGCACCTGCCTCAGGACCACAGCACTCCAGGGACTCTCTTTCCCTAGATGGGCACATGTGTCACTGTGTGTCACTTCCCTCTCTTCAGGCTCTGGCCTGCTCTCCACGCAACAGCCCTCCTGCCCCTCCCTCTCTAGCCCGGACCCTGCTGGCTCCACGGCGTGGATCCCTCTCTGGCAGGGAGAAGGAGAGGGACAGACTCCACAGCGAGCCAGAGAATCTGAGACCCTGAGAGACAAGGAGCAATGGGCAGAGGAGACAAGCCTGAACCCACTGTCACCCTCCTCCTTCCTGCAGCACACTGAGTGCCCACCACGTGCCAGTCACAGTCTAAGGGGCAGGGTAAGAACACAGCTCTGCCAGCTTGGAGGAAGACAGACAATAAAGAGTTAACAGAGAACCAAGACCACAGGGCCCAGGAGAGGCTACTTCAGTCAGGTGTGGGAAGGCCTGCACGCCAGGGGAGCCAGGTGTGTGCAGAGCAGAGGGGACGGCAAGCAGACAGGACAGAGGTGGGAAGGGTCCAGAGCGACTGTGGAACTGGAAGGAGCAGTGCACAAGAGACGGGGCAGGAAGGGCGGGCAGGGAGCAACCGAGGAGAAGCCCACGGTCAGCACCCGAGACCGAGGAGGAAGGGCTGGAGCATGGCATCTGCCAGGGCAGGAAGAAGGAGCAGCCTGTGGCTCCACAGGCCTTTGAATCATGTTGAGACTCAGAATTTTTAGTTCTTCTTTTTTATTTTTTTTTCGTTTTTTTCAGGGGTCCTACACCTAGGAAGAGACCCAGAATTTTTAAACACCTGGCTACTAGTCCAGGCCAGCCTCATAGACTCCAGGATTAGAAGGTTAATATTAGGCCTTTATCAAAGAAATATCTACAGCTGGAAGTCAGATTCTGGGCCCTCTTCTAATTAAGCTCTGCCCTTGAGTAATTTTATCCAATTTCATGGCTGTAAATGACACCTAAAATTTTATTTTCAGCCCTGACATTTCCCTTGAGCTCTAGACTCATTCACACAACTGTTTTCAGAGATCCCCACTTAAAGTCTAATGGGATCCCAAATAGACCACGTCCCATACAGCATTCTTGATCCAGCCAATCCCCAAATGTCACCCTGAGGCTGCCCCCTCCCTCCTATAGTCCCAGCACCCCTTGCTGTCTGTTCCCTCCCCAGCAGCTCCCGCCACACACAGCACAGACTCCCAGGTTTTGACCATGACATGCAAGATGCTACATGGCTGTCCTCTGTCCTCTGGACACTGCTCTGTCCACTCCAGTCCCCTCTCCAGGCACATAGTCAGCCCCTGGCTTCGCTCAAATGCCCTGAGCCTTTACACTTGCTATTTCCTCTACTTGGCAAGTTCTTACCTGATCCTGCCTTTCAAGTAGCAACTCAGATGCCACCTCCTCAGATGCTGTTCCCTAACCACCACCTCCCCTGGTCGCCTTATTTTTCTGTCGTCATTCCCTGTCCCAATACACTGTTTCAATTTCTTGACTGCACTTACTGGTATCTGAGGGTGTCGTTTATGTTTGTTGTCTATCTCTCCCCACCAAACTATATGCTCCACAAGGGCAAGGACCTCAGCTGCCTTGTTAACCTCTGTGTCTCTTTGGAGCAGGGCGGGCCACACAGCAGGGGCTCAAGGAATATCTGTTGAATAAATAAAGGAAGGGCATCCTGCCCTTTCCTAATGGCAGGTGAAACAAAGTCACTTACTTTCCTTGGACATCAAGCTAATCCCCACCCATTGCTGCCACTTTCTAACACCAATCCCAGCAGCAGCAGTGACACAACATGCAGGGACCACACACAGCACCCTGTGAAATACTCGCCAACTGAATGACTCTGCAGAATCCTGCACAGTGTCATCCAGGCCTAGCAGCAGCAAACCTCTATCTACGCAAGTTGCTATTTACCCACGGGGTCCACAGACAAACGAGGTGCATAAATAGCTAACTGCGCAGGGAATCGATGAAAGCTCTAAGAGACAACACTGCTTAACAGAAGCAGAGAAAGAGCAATAGTTATGAGTTAGAGGTCCCAGATAACAGACATGCTGAGCTGGTATGTCATACTGACAGAGAACGATGTGGCTCTCTACATAACATGACCCATGGCAATCATAAAGGCATTTAACAACCCTTGACTGGAGATAAACCAAGAAATTCCTCAGACTACGTGCTTGAGCAGACGAGCTTTCTTTACTTACAGACTTTCGACAGGCTCTGGAGGCAAACATCTGCCTGACTCGGGAAGGCCGGCACATGACCCCAGGACTGTCACTTAGCATAAAGATCAGTTCATCTATATCCTGGGGTCCAAAGGTCCAGTTTTTACTAGTTGGCAAGGAAATCAATTTAGCCCTTTCAGTGACTGGAGCTAAAAGAATAAAATTTTGAGAAAAATCCATTATTTGAGAAATGTATTTCATCTGAGTGTTACTTATACATTTGATAGAGAGGGCAGACACAGAATGTTTTTGGGGGGAACCTTTTTTATCTCTTATAAAAGAATTGATCTATATGACCTCAAAGATTGTTCTCAGCTCTAAAAAGGCATGATTCTATAGTCCTAATTAATAACTTACCACTTTCATCAATAACAAAATCAAAGCCATTCTTTCTGAATATTTCCAGATTTTCTAGTAGAATAGCTTCATTGACAGCAGTTAAGTTGAGAGTCTGAGGTCTGAAAAACAGAGAAGAAATTCAAACTATGTCCTGAAGTCAAACATTTAGCTATAAAGCAGAAATTAAACCAAAACAATATTGTGATACTCTGAACCCATTTCACAAAAACGTAAAAACAACACTATTCAGCTATGTGCCTTTCCACCACTTAGCCAAGTGTCACAAAACTTCCTGAAGAGATCCTTTTAATTTTCATTTTCTTAAAGTTCTTTTCAGAAGTTCAAGTAGCTGCAAAAGTAGTTTGCTTTTTCCTCAATATTCCATCTTACTCCAATGACCTGGTCTTTTTTTGGATCTTCTCCTGAAGGATGACTATTTAAAAGATGCTATTTTTCCTCCTCATAATAAAGATAATTTGAAAAGCTGGATTAGGTTATTACCAGCACTTGAAAATGAAATGAACAGACAGCATTGATTTTGCTTTCCTCCTGCTTCCTCTGCCTGCTTTATTTCTCCATCCATCTCTCCTACTGGATCTACCAAATGCTTAATAAGACAAACACTGCTAAAGGCAGCAGATACCATGGTGAGCAAACACAGACCCGGTCTCTGCCCTCCTGGAACTAACAGATTAGTGGGGAATAAAGACATTGATCAAATAGTGAAGCAAATCAATTATGACTACAAACAGCAGCAAGAATCAGGAAGAAAAGACACCCAGTGCCATACGAGCATACTGCAAGTGACACTTGACCATGGGGTCAGGGAAGGGTCTTCTGAGGAAGTATTCTTGGAGCGGGGTAGGTAGGTGCGGGACAAGTACGCCAGACAGAGACAACGATCTGTGCCAAGCCCTATGATGGACCTATGATGTTTCTAGAGACACACATGAAGATCTATTGCATTCTTCCTAATGGCCATATAGCAATTCATCAGGCCTGCCTAGAGGGAAAGATGGCCAGAGTGGTTCAAGTACAGGGAACAAAAAGAGGGGTCAGGAAAAGCTAAAGAGGTCACCCCATCAAACTACGCAGGGTGTGGTAGAGTTGGATGGAATTTGAGTCTACCCTTTAATCTTGAAGTATGGTCCATCTGAGACCCAAAGTGGCCTGTGATTACCTGGGTCAACTTGAAATGCCACAGATGAGACGTTACTTATGCCAGATGGCTAAAAAATAAAAGACCTCTGTAAGTGGAGCAGGAATATTTCAGTGTTACAAGGTAGCTTACTAATGTCTTTACTATTACCATTTACCCCTACTGAAAATTTAAAAAACCCCAAAAAACAATTAATGCATTCCACAGGAAA